AGTAGAGGTCGTCTCATGACACAAGGACAGATAAAAGAAGGCTGCCTGTTTTAAACTTGTAAGCAGGTCTGGTACCAATGCACCACGAACTCATTGTTAAGTCAGTCATATAACCCTGACCCAATTACTCGACTATACATTTGATTAAAACACTTTTTAAAAAAATGCCAGCTTGATCTGAAACAAAACAACCGCTACTGGGGTCATCTATTGTAGTCATATCTGCTGATAAAACATGTTTACACAATTGTTTATATATAGGCCTATATATATATATATATATATATATATATATATATATATATATATATATATATATATATATATATAAAATTTTATATATATATTTTTTTTTTCCACCAAGGTAAATGGGAAATATTTAAACCAGAACGGTGAGGTGATAAATGGTTTAACACTTAGAATAGAAACCAACTGCATTTACGTGTAATGTATGATTTCACTAGCCAGTTTTGTTAAGAAATTACTCGACTAGTTATCTCAACTTCAACATAAGTGATGAGATTATTTTACTTGATTTTACTTGATTGCATTACGTCTTGCCTGCATCACTGTATTAAAAAGAAATAAATATCACGGATTCTTTTGTCGCTAACCGATCAGTAAAATAGCATACGGTCGGGGCTGGTGGGTGAAAGGCGACACTCTTAGCCGGAAAGTTCTAAGAGCTAAGAAAATTAGCATACTATTCCAAATAGATCATTTTTATTGCTTATTTATAACAAGTCCTAGTACTGCAATTTCATACAGCTAAGGCCACTAGACCTACTAAATTTGGTAAAAATAGTACAACACGACTGCTACTGCTTTGTTACTTTGTTCAACCTAACTTATAATTTAAAACTGTAATATACTGTTATCAAAATTGTTCTAAAGAAACGACCAAAATAGATCAAATATGCTTGTAACTTCTACAAATTACTCTCTAAAGTAGTGGTATTTAATCTATTTAGAGGTACCGAGCCACACCAGTTTAATATGCGTATTAACCGAACCTTCTTAATAGCTTTATCATGCCCACTGCCATAATCCGATCGTGAATCGTATTAGTCGGGTATGTATCTTGACATCCGCCGAAGCCTTGAGACTGACTTACCGAACCTCTTAAGTTCGATCGAACCCAGGCTACGAACCACTGCTCTAAACTCTTGATTTTCTTTTTTTTTCTTCCACTTCACAGGGAGCATAGGTAACACTTTGTCAACTCACTTGATTTTTATGAGGATCGAACCCTAATAATCAAGCCTCTCCCATATCTATTTCAGTCGATTTCCTTCATGACTTTCCCCGTGGACTTTACACCAGCACCTGCTCAGCGATGTTATTTATTGTCTTTCTGATACTATGCCCTAACAAGCACCTCTTCGTTGCTCTTATTTCATTCTCCACTGTCTGTTACTCCCTAGCTCCGTGCCATACAGTAAATAAGACTTCACATTTAGCTATAGATACTGATTGAATTATTTTTTTTTTGGCAATGCATTTGAACTCCACATTGGCTTAAAATGTTAAAACGCATTTTATCGCTGCTGATTCTAATCAGACGTCATGTGCGATGCAACTATCATAAAACCGGTTAGTACTATTTATTCTGCATTATTTCGAGCTGTTGTGCCCGTTGGATTCTACTTTGTTTCCTCTAGCTCAGTGGTTCCCAACCTTTTTCGAGTGGCGACCCCCTTTTATAAAAAGTAAGTGACCTGCAACCCCCATAGAATTAAAAAGCCGAAATTAGTATGGAAATCAATAAGCACTAAAATAAGATTTTCTAGTAGACTTTCAATATGAACTACTCTTGATAACTATTTTAATAGCATGAGTGAAATTGCATACTATTCACTAAACCTTCGTGGTTAAGTTTTAATTTAAAAACATTTTTGTTAACGCCAACCTATTTCATTATAATTATCTTAATTTTGTTTTTAATCGAAGAACAGTGTTGAAAATATATTCTCGAAAAGTCAATCAATTTTACGTTTGAAAACTACACCAAAATTGTGTCTGCAGTTTTTCATCTTACTCGGAATCATTCTGCAAATCAAAGAATTCATCTTATAATTCATCGGGAATGCTTGCAACATCAAGGGAAGAAGAGAATGGGTAATGCAGATTCTTCTTTTTTCAGCACAGAGAAATAGCGATGCAGTTCGTTTTCAAGAGATTCTAGATGCCCAGAAATCGCTTCTTTCAAATTTTTAATTATCTCACAATCAGATTCATCTACCACACCGCAGAATTTCTCAAATTTACAATATTTCCAAGATTTATTTTCTTTACCAATTTTGCAGCTTTGATAAAAATGCCCCGAGATTATCATGGAAAGTTATAATATTCGTTCATTTTCCCTGAAGCTTCATGTTAAGCTTATCTTGATGTTCGAACACATCTGCTAGGTATGATACTCTCTCCAACCATTCTATGTCGTTTTAACAAAAGAGCAACTCTTATTTGCTAACATCCGCATGAATATAGACACAGACCAGCAACTGCGAACACGAACTCACGTCTGTTGATTTATCAAGTTGAAAAGCAAACAATGGTGAAAGCTTAATTTCGATAAAAATGTGTTATTTAACATTTACGTACATGCAGCGTTTGATGAGATTTTCTCCAATTGTTTTTTTTTTTTGCTTGGCATTTTCTATCGCGACTTCATTTAATGCTTGCACTAATGCTGGTAAAAACTTCCTGTTCGATCAAGTCTCTGGCGTTTGCAACTAGCTTCTTACCGACGAAAGAACTCAATATATTTTTGGTGTGTTCCGAATGACTCGTCTCAAATGGCGTTTTAGTTTTGAAGATTTCATAGATTCGTGACTGAGAACAACTTTGTACAGTGTTTCTTCTCTATTACATTTCCAGTGATGTTAATGAAGCCGAATTTCAAAAATTCTTCTTAATATTTATGTTTTGTTTCAAATTACTAAGGTTTAGTATACCAGTTGGCGACCCCCCAGAAAGACCTTCGCGACCCCCAAGGGGGTCGCGACCCCCAGGTTGGGAACCCGTGCTGGATTCATCTTACAATAAAACAGTCAACTAAATACGCATGTCGTATTACAAGGTATACAATAAATGTTTCTGATAATTTGTTATTGTATGTCACTTGTTTAACCTTTTTCTAACAAACTTATAATCCAACTATGTAACATATCATAACAGAGATTGTTCCAAAGATAGAACATGACAGACTGGCCTAAACGAATTAGCTCTGCTACAAACTTCCCTCTAAACTCAGATGAGGCTAATTGTTTTCTGAAATTTTTATATCTTTTTACTTTCTCGAATACAGAGTATAGAGAAAGTATTGTAATGGTACACAAAAATCACATGAAATTTTGACAGTTTTGATCGTTTTACACCTCAAATGAATTACAAATCCATTAAAATCATGTCTATATCCCGAGGTGCCATCACCCATTTAGGGGAGATCACTCCCGGTTTATTTTAAAAAGAATAACGCGTCTTTAGGGAATTTAACTTCGCGTACTGTCGCGCGCACACATACACACACAAACGCGCACATACACACACACACACACACAAACATACACACACACACACATATATATATATATATATATATATATATATATATATATATATATATATATATATATATATATATATATATATATATATATATATATACGCCTCTGTTCACATCTTTACTGTAATTACCTACTGTCACAGGACTCTCATCTTTATTGTAATTACCTATTTTAAGAGGTTGTAGCATTTTTTATAAAAACTCGTTAATTACTGTAAGAAAGTCTCACGTCTTTATTCCTATTGTTAGTGGGCCCCATTATTTGTTCGGTCTAAAAATTTAACTCAACTGTTTTCTTCAAACAAACTTTTTTGTTTTACCCTATGACACCGACGTGGTGATCAACTCATCTCACGGTGAACATTTGGAACAATTTTACTGATGTTTCAAGGCGCTTGGACATCGCCCAAACTCCCACCACCTTCCGAACAATTAACCCCGTCAGTACTCACGAGATTGATTAACCTATGTCAATTTCTCCTCATCAATTACTCCTTTCTCCGTGGGTAGTCATACACTTGAGATTACATATTATACATATAAAAATCCCTATCAATATCCCTATCCTTAATAAGTATAGTGATATATAAGCAACCATATGTAATGTAAAGTTTTTTGGGATGTGGGGAGATATTGCTATAATGTAGAGTGGTGATTGATATGCGGTTGATTAATTTGAGGTGTTTTTCAAGGGGAGGGTGTGTGTGTGTGGGGGGGGGGGGGGGAATAATTGACATCAGTAGCGGATTAAGGGAGGGGGGCTGAGAGAAATGAAGTCAGGGGCCCCAGCTTTTTAGGGACCCCCCAAATTTACTACTTAATTGTTGGTTTTCACTTTTAAAACTAAAACTAAAGTTTTAATGTTTGCACCACAAGCTTCAAATTCTTTTACAAAATATCTAATACGTGCACACGCGCATATATATATATATATATATATATATATATATATATATATATATATATATATATATATATATATATATATATATATATATATATATATATATATATATATATATATATATATATATATATATATATATATATATATATATATATATATATATATATATATATATATATATATATATATATATATATATATATATATATATATATATATATATATATATATATATATATATATATATATATAGGGGCCCCAAAAAAATTCAGTCGGAGTCCCCTCTCAAGCTTAATCCGCCCTTGATTTACAGGGAGTAATGTATGTCCTCCCTCTTGTGACAACTAAGCCCCTGAAATATTCTACTACACCCCCCCCCCCATCGTTTTCACTAAGATACCACTCCTTTGAACACATGGCTATTTTCTCATAGTTGGCGACTCTTTAAACGCTCGCTGGCCACGCCTCTGTTGGCTTGAATTATATTTTTAGAACTATTGAAACTATTCGTGCTAGTTCATGTGACACGATAGTGTATTAAAAAACTAAGGGGAAAAAAATATGGACCCAGTGTAGGCTAGTACATATAAGGCATCAACTCGAACCTCATACATCTGCCACTTCTGAGCTGCAACCTCTCCCACTGCTTGCACGTCCACCTACCAGACGACATGACCGTCACAACATTCTGTGTGACTCTCTTGACATTTATGACACTCCAGTGTCATGCCTGGATGACAGAATTTGACCAGCACTTCAAGATCGAGTGTCCGGCCCAACAGTTTGTCAAAACTCTAGAAAGTATCCATGACAACGGCAAAGAGGACCGAGTCTGGAACTTTGGGTGCCACATCCTACCTCACTCTGCTCATGTCAGCGGTTGTGAATGGAGCGGTAAAGTTTCATTTCGTTCGGAATTCAATTAGAGATTAGTTGTTGAATGCGGAGGTATATATATATATATATATATATACATATATATATATATATATATATATATATATATATATATATATATATATATATATATATATATATATATATATATATATATATATATATATATATATATATATATATATATATATGTATATATATATATATATATATGTATATATATATATATATATATATATATGTATATATATATATATATATATATATATATATATATATATATATATATATATATATATAAACAGTCTCCATGAACTATCTGAAACTTAAGAATGACCTGACTATCTAAACAGTTGTATGTTTTACCTTATAAGGCTACAAGAACAACTACGACGAACTGCTGGAGTTCCAATGCCCGAATGATGGCGTCATCACTGGAGTAGAGAGTATCCACGACAACCACTTCGAAGACCGGAAGTGGTCGTTTAAATGTTGTAACCCAATTGGTAGGTCTTAGCCCATTTTGTTACACACATTGTATGCAACATCAGCCCATTTTCAATCCAACATTGACAGCGTTGTGTTGAGCGATCTCCTTAAATGTTCTTCTAAAGCAGGAGGGGGTGGTTATTCAAAAGCTATAGAAATGTTTTTTTAACAAAAATTTTAACACTTAATTTTTCGAAACAGAATAAAATATAGTAGAAAAAAGAATTGCGCACAAAATGAACAACTATGAGTATACTACAGAGGAAAATTAGTAATTTATAAAGCAAACATTGACTACCTTTTTGTGACAAATTGGGAATAGCGTAAAGTACTACTCCTGGTCATCGGAAATCACTCAAAATTTGTCAGGAACCAGCGAATAAGATCATATAATCAAGCATGAAATTGCGTCCAGCTAATTGAAACTGTACTCCGGTTATTTTGTATTTTAGTATATTTAGAAACAAAAACTTATGTAAAGTACCACTATCACTTCTGGATAGCGGAATTCACTTAAGATTTTCGTCTACCTAACTGAAACAGTACTTAAGTTTTTTGTTCCCACAAAAATAGAATTAACTACCATTTCCGGTGAACAGAAATCGTTCAAAAGTAGAATGCAACCCGAGCGTTCAATCTAATACTTGTATGTGAAATTTCGTCTACCTAACTAAATGTTAGTTAAATACCTAAATGGTACTCAAGTAGACGGCTTTCAAAAGACCGGAGGTACAGCATGTATCACTTCCTGTTACAGGAAATTGCACAAAAGTTAAAAGAAAACTACAAATTTGATGTCGTACTTATGAACGAAATTTCGTCAACCTAACTGAAATGGCCCTAAAGTTATCGTGTTTAGATATACACTATCATACAGACAAGATTGACAAGATTGATGAAATCCCCGATTTAGATTTTTTTCATGATTACAACACATCCTTTATATTCCGTATGCGATAAAGTAAGGGGTTGTAAAACGGCGAAAATAGTCAAAATTTAATTAACTTTTTGTGCACGATTACACTACTTCCTCTATACTATGTCTACGAGAAGGTACAAAAAAAACAACTTAGTTAAAATCGAAATGGTGGGGAAAAAGGCTGTCACGTTCATTTCCACTGTAAGAATGACCTTTGACACGCTCTTGCAGGCTACGTTACTCACGCCTGTGAGTTTACTCCTTACGTCAACCAATACGACCAGATGTTGACCTACAGGGTGCCGGACGGCATGGTCCTCAGGGGCGTCAACAGTGTGCACAGCAACCATAACGAGTAAGTTCAGCTGTTGGTTCCTGCCTAGATAGTATTACATTTAAGAAAGCACCACATTTCTGTTAGCACGCCATAATCATTAGCACATCAATTTTTGTTAGCATCCAATATCTGTAAGCACCACATTTTTTGTTAGCACAACATGGTCTATAATGACCCCCATGGAAGACATGCTACAGACACACCAAACAAACTCTTGTACGTCGGCTGACCGATAGTCATGACTTTAAAATATATTATAGACTCCTAGTTCTTTACCCGGGTCGGGGGTTCGGTGAGTCAGTCTCAGGGGTTTGGCGGAGATCAAGACACAAACACGGCTCATATTGTTCACGAGCGGATTTTTTCATTTCGGACGCTAGACTAACAAAAGGGTTCGGTCAAAGCGCATATGAAGCTAAGAGCTGCTGATATATACCAAGTGTAACTTTTATAAAGGTGTTGACCGGTGTTGGGGAGGTAGTGCTAGGGTACTGAAGGTAGAGGTTTGTGGGGGTAGTGCTGAGGGGGTGGGGGTATTATTGTGGGGCGGTGAAGTACTGATGCTCGAGAGTGGACGGATGCTAGGAGAGGTGTGGACTAGCGCTAGAGGAGGTGTAGGCTAGTGCTAGAGGAGGTGTAGGCTAGTGCTAGGGGAGGTGTAGGCTAGTGCTAGAGGAGGTGTAGGCTAGTGCTAGAGGAGGTGTAGGCTAGTGCTAGAGGAGGTGTAGGCTAGTGCTAGAGGAGGTGTAGGCTAGTGCTAGGGGAGGTGTAGGCTAGTGCTAGGAGAGGTGTGGACTAGCGCTAGAGGAGGTGTAGGCTAGTGCTAGAGGAGGTGTAGGCTAGTGCTAGGGGAGGTGTAGGCTAGTGCTAGGGGAGGTGTAGGCTAGTGCTAGAGGAGGTGTAGGCTAGTGCTAGAGGAGGTGTAGGCTAGTGCTAGAGGAGGTGTAGGCTAGTGCTAGAGGAGGTGTAGGCTAGTGCTAGGGGAGGTGTAGGCTAGTGCTAGGGGAGGTGTAGGCTAGTGCTAGAGGAGGTGTAGGCTAGTGCTAGAGGAGGTGTAGGCTAGTGCTAGAGGAGGTGTAGGCTAGTGCTAGAGGAGGTGTAGGCTAGTGCTAGAGGAGGTGTAGGCTAGTGCTTGAGGTGTAGGCTAGTGCTTGAGGAGGTGTAGGCTAGTGCTAGAGGAGGTGTAGACTAGTGCTAGAGGAGGTGAGGACGGGGAGGTGTGGACCGGCGTTGGGGAGGTGTGGACTAGTACTAGCGAATGTGTTGACTAGTGCTAGAGGAGGTGTGGAATGTAAACAATATAAAGTATATTTTAGAAGTAAGCTTGATATACCAGTAACCCTAACCCTAACCGCTCCCCAATGTTGTATCCCCAGAGATCGTATCTTCAAATTTGACATCTGCAAGCTCGATCATCTGACTGCGCCTGTTGGCTAGACCACACAGAGTTATGGAATTTAGTTTCCATCTAAACGAAACAGGCAATATGCAAAACATCGTGGACGAGAAAATATCATCTCATATTGTAAAGCATGTCTACAATCAAAGCGTGTACTCATTTAATAAACAGATAACGATTTCCTTTATGTTTTGTTATGTACATTTTAGTTAATTTAATTTTCTAATTAGTCGTACAACTATAAATATAGATGTGGCTATTTATAATTTACCAAATTGTGACAAATAATAGTCAAATTATGAACAGGAATCAGCCAATTCAGTCTGATATCTATTAGGAACTTTAATTTTAAAAAAAAGACAATTATTACGATTGTCGCGATGATAAACATATGGAATTTATCAAAGCTGTAGCCCAGAGGTCTCCAAACGTTTCAGCCCGAGGGCCGCATTAACTATCAAATATAAGTTCAGGGGCCAGAGTTTCTTCCAAGCATCTCTTCGGGGAGGCGGAGGCCCCCCCCCCACCCCAACCTCCCTTTCCCCCCCCCCCCCCACCAAAGAACGCCATCCACTCCCAGCCCCACCCAACGAAATGGTATATATATATATATATATATATATCTAATATATAAAGCTCAGTTCTGTATGTAAAAATACATATGTTTGTCGTTGACATACTTCCATGGATTAAAGTGTTAGATAAATAAAGTCCTTATGGTCTGAATTTATGAGTTAAAAAATTAATATTGAAAGTTTTGGGAAATAATTTTCATTTATCAAACTGAAAGTAATAATTTTCGACATGTTCATTAAACACAAGTTTTAAAAAGATATCATCTTTTACAAAAATTCTAATTATGTCTTTATTTAGTCCTATAGCACTTACTTCCCTTTGATAAATTAGGAAAACACAATTACTTCCCTTTATAAAACCATTGCATTAGTAGAAAAGAATTTACTTTTTATTACTTTGTTTTGGTGTTTGGAAAAAAAAAATTACATAATTAGCGGGGATTGATCAAGTGCAAATATTGTAGGTATTTTACGGATAAGCTTGGAGTATTATAATTGTTCATTAAATTGAAACAGGCGCGTTCGTTTAAGTGAGTGCAAAAGACTATGAATAAGTTGGGGTACTATAGTCGTTCATTAAGCTAAAACAGGTGATTCCGCCCCGGGCGTTTATGTTCGCGTTAGTGTTTTCTTTGTGTTTAGGTGGGTTTGCGTTAGTGGTTGCGTTTTGATTTGGTTCGTTTTTGTTCTTTCTTTTTTCGTTTTTGTTTGTGTTTTTTTCTTTGGGTTTGTATTTGTGTTTTTGGTTGGTTTTGCGTTTGGATTTGGTTTGTTTTCGTTTGCTTTTTCGTTTTTTTTTTGTGTGTTGGTATTGGTGTTTGTGGTTGTGGTTGGGTTTGTTGTTAGGTTTTTGTTTTCGTTTGCTTTTTTGTTTGTTTTTTCTTTGTGTTTGTATTGGTGTTTGTGGTTGTGGTTGGGTTTGTTGTTAGGTTTTTGTTTTCGTTTGTATTTGTAATTGTGTTAGCGTTATGTTTGCGTTTTGTTGTTTTGGTTTTGGTTGGTTGTGGTTTGGGTGGGCAATGCCGGGTTTATGATGATTACTAAACACACATGTAAGGGTCTTTAACAGAAAGGTTTTTCACAGAAGCCAGAGCAGGGCCTGGCCGGGACGGCTAGTATATATATATATATTATATATATATATATATATATATATATATATATATATATATATATATATATATATATATATATATATATATATATATATATATATATATATACATACATATTTCAAAAGCCAACCACCAGAGAAAAAAGTCTGAAAGAAACACTGTCGGGGACCGACAACACACTCGGGGTCCAAGTTTGTTCTCAAATTATTCGTCACGTGGGCCTACTTCATTCTAGATAAAGTTTGTATGTTGTTCCGAAATTCGAAAGGTACTTTGATGCAAAAGTTTTAATATTAGGAAAGTCTTCGTTGGGCAAATACTTATAAAACCCACCCGCCCTTATTTGAACATGTCTTTAAGGAGGTCATTTGCTTGGCAACTGGCCACATTTAGTTGAATGGTATTTGCACTCAATGCTACATTTTCAGTATGTTTTGAATTTTTTCTCAGCCACCTCCAACAAACCTTTTTTTCTCCGTGGACAAAAAGATCTCCGAGGGCCGGATGAGAGGACCTCGCGGGCCGTAGTTTGGAGACCCCTGCTGTAGCCGGATGGAAAATTTCAATCACCCAGTCACCACCAAAAGAGATTGCTCAGTTCTCTCCCTTTTCATCCAACAAAGGGGAATAATTTACCTCGTGATGATCATCACCAATTTTTTTACCTTCGTCAATATCAGAAAGGTCTCACGTTTCTAAAGTCACGGAGACAACAGTTTGCAAGTAAATAATTTTAGAATATAAGGAAAAAATAATTCGAACATATATTTTATGCATGTTCATATTTTAACGGATGACATTGGGGCATTAAATTTAGTGTTTTTAACGGACCCACAATTTGAAAATTAGCTTGTAGATCTGCACTTATAATTTTTTAGCTGAGTATCCCAAAATATGGTAAAAGGCTATGACTTTGTTGTTTATTGGGCTTAAAATATCATATTTTATGAATGGTGGAAATCATACGTAGAGGTTATTTTCTCAAGATGGCCGCTATTGTCATAGTTACCAAGATTTTCCCACCAAATTATTACTTTCTCGTTTACCTGAAGTATAGAGGAAGTATTGTAATCGTGCAAAAAATCAAAACCGAGATTTTCACAAATCTCGACGTTTTGCAATTTTGTCCGTATGTCTGAGTGTATATAAGTATGTATGTATATATGTAATGGGATGGGACGAAATGTGGCGCTCTGATGAACTGAGACACTCTGATAAAATGGGGCGCTCTTACTGCCGAAATAGGGCGCTCTGACGAAATGGGGTGCTCTGACGAAATGGGGCGCTCTGATGAAATGGGGCGCTCTGACGAAATGGGGCGCTCTGACGAAATGGGGCGCTCTGACGAAATGGGGCGCTCTGATGAAATGGGGCGCTCTTACTGCTGAAATAGGGCGCTCTGACGAAATGGGGCGCTCTTACTGCTGAAATAGGGCGCTCTGACGAAATGGGGCGCTCTTACTGCTGAAATAGGGCACTCGGACGAAATGGGGCGCTCTTACTGCTGAAATAGGGCGCTCTGACGAAATGGGGCGCTCTTACTGCCGAAATAGGGCGCTCTGCCGAAATAGGGCGCTCTGATGAAATGGGGCGCTCTGACGAAATGGGGCGCTCTGACGAAATGGGGCGCTCTGATGAAATGGGGCGCTCTTACTGCCGAAATAGGGCGCTCTGACGAAATGGGGCGCTCTGATGAAATGGGGCGCTCTTACTGCCGAAATAGGGCGCTCGGACGAAATGGGGCGCTCTTACTGCTGAAATAGGGCGCTCTGACGAAATGGGGCGCTCTTACTGCCGAAATAGGGCGCTCTGCCGAAATAGGGCGCTCTGATGAAATGGGGCGCTCTGACGAAATGGGGCGCTCTGATGAAATGGGGCGCTCTTACTGCCGAAATAGGGCGCTCTGACGAAATGGGGCGCTCTGATGAAATGGGGCGCTCTTACTGCCGAAATAGGGCGCTCTGATGAAATGGGGCGCTCTGACGAAATGGGGCGCTCTGACGAAATGGGGCGCTCTGATGAAATGGGGCGCTCTGACGGAATGGGGCGCTCTGACGAAATGGGGCGCTCTGATGAAATGGGGCGCTCTGACGAAATGGGGCGCTCTGATGAAATGGGGCGCTCTGACGAAATGGGGCGCTCTGATGAAATGGGGCGCTCTTACTGCCGAAATAGGGCGCTCTGACGAAATGGGGCGCTCTGATGAAATGGGGCGCTCTGACGAAATAGGGCGCTCTGATGAAATGGGGCGCTCTGACGAAATGGGGCGCTCTGATGAAATGGGGCGCTCTGATGAAATGGGGCGCTCTGATGAAATGGGGCGCTCTTACTGCCGAAATAGGGCGCTCTGACGAAATGGGGCGCTCTGATGAAATGGGGCGCTCTGACGAAATAGGGCGCTCTGATGAAATGGGGCGCTCTGACGAAATGGGGCGCTCTGATGAAATGGGGCGCTCTGACGAAATGGGGCGCTCTGATGAAATGGGGCGCTCTGATGAAATGGGGCGCTCTGATGAAATGGGGCGCTCTGATTAAATGGGGCGCTCTGACGAAATGGGGCGCTCTGATGAAATGGGGCGCTCTGACGAAATGGGGCGCTCTGATGAAATGGGGCGCTCTTACTGCTGAAATAGGGCGCTCTGACGAAATGGGGCGCTCTGATGAAATGGGGCGCTCTGACGAAATGGGGCGCTCTTACGAAATGGGGCGCTCTTACTGCCGAAATGGGGCGCTCTTACTGCTGAAATAGGGCGCTCTTACTGCTGAAATAGGGCGCTCTGACGAAATGGGGCGCTCTGATGAAATGGGGCGCTCTGACGAAATGGGGCGCTCTTACTGCTGAGATAGGGCGCTCTTACTGCTGAAATAGGGCGCTCTGACGAAATGGGGCGCTCTGATGAAATGGGGCGCTCTGACGAAATGGGGCGCTCTGATGAAATGGGGCGCTCTGACGAAATGGGGCGCTCTGACGAAATAGGGCGCTCTGACGAAATGGGGCGCTCTGACGAAATGGGGCGCTCTTACTGCTGAAATAGGGCGCTCTAACGAAATGGGACGCTCTGACTAATCATGTATCCAAACTCCTCGGCTTAAAGGCATTTGTTTCGCTACTCAATGTGGAAAATGGATCAGTTTGTAAGTGTACGATAATTGTTTATTGTCTTACACAAAATGGTCTTCAGCAATCACTTTTAATTGGCTTCTAATCGATTTTCGTATTGTTACACATTTTTTTTTTGCTTTCTTATAGCTTTTAAAAAATCTATTCGGCTGGGTAAAGAGGGGGAGGGGGGGGGGGGTTACGAAGGATCTTACCTGGGTTGTGTGTGTGTGTGTGTGTGCCTTATTGGCTGACCCAGCGACTTGGGTATGGGACCACTTGAATCGCTGTACCAATCGGAGTCCTATGTCAAACATCCAGTACCTCGGCTACCCTCAGCAACACATCTTTCATGTGTTTCTTTAAAACATTTCAATAGTCTACATTATGTACTTAACCTATCAAATTATCGATCGCCACTTTAGTTTCTTCTGTGCACCAATACACGAAAATCGAATGCTTGCAAAAACTTCTAAAATATTTTTAAAAAATCTACAACATTGTTATTTTCATCAGATGTCAACGACCGTTATTTTTAATTTTCTCAAAAACTACTTTTTTTTTCCACATTTTTTGGCCACAACTGTCTATGTCTTGTAGGGCCTATAGCTTGATTAGATATATTTTTATGTTAATCCACGAAACACAAGCACGATTAAGATTTGATAAGAAAGATATGGACCCAGTACAGGTGCCGTACAAACGTACCTTTAGATGCCGCTTACATAAGGACCCAGCACAGACCTCATACACCTGTCTAGTCTAGTCAAAGCCGTCATCTCTCACACTACATACGGTTCAACCTACCAGACGCCATGATGCTTACAACAGTTTGTGGGTTTCTCTTGACATTTATGACACTGCAATGTCATGCCTGGATGACAGAATACGACCAGCACTTTAAGATCGAATGTCCGGCTGGTCAAACTATCAAAACTCTAGAAAGTGTCCATGACAACCACAGGGAGGACAGAGTCTGGAACTTTGGGTGTGCCACCCCACCCCACGGGGCTCTGCTAAGTGCTTGTGAATGGAGCGGTAAATATTTCCTTTGTTTTTTTTATACTAGTGTTGTGTGGACAGGCTAATAGTTGTTTATCTCATGTTGTTTTCTTGAGCGTGTTGTCCAGTTCTTGTGTGTTGTCCAGTTATTTCGTGTTGTCCAGTTATTAAGTGCTGTCCAGTTATTAAGTGTTGTCCATTCAATGGATCTAGTCCACGTAATACATTTAGTCCAATAATTTCATGTAGTCCAGTTATTGCTATAGATCCCGTCTCGTCAAATTCAAATTCTAATTCCAATGTCAAAGCCAATGCCAATGCCATTGCCAATGCCATTGCCAATGCCAATGCCATTGCCAATGCCAATGCCAATGCCAATGCCAATGCCAATGCCAATGCCAATGCCAATGCCAATGCCAATGCCAATGCCAATGCCAATGCCAATGCCAATGCCAATGCCAATGGCAATGGCAATGGCAATGGCAATGGCAATGGCAATGGCAATGGCAATGGCAATGGCAATGGCAATGGCAATGGCAATGGCAATGGCAATGGCAATGGCAATGGCAATGGCAATGGCAATGACAATGACAATGACAATGACAATGACAATGACAATGACAATGACAATGACAATGACAATGACATTGCTAATGCCAATGCCAATGCCAATGCCAATGCCAATGCCAATGCCAATGCAAACGCGAACCCAAACGCAAACACAAACGCAAACGCAAACGCAAACGCAAACACGAACAATAATGGAAACAAATGTAAATATAGAAATGTTTAAGAACGGCTTCTAAAATGTTATTGATCAAAAGAATAATTAGTAAATAGTACAGTAAAAAATTAAAAGGTAGTATTTAAAATAAAACCAGGCTAATTAGATAATTGTTTATTCCAACATCAAAACAAACGATAGAAGTAATTTTCTTCTGCTTTATTTTATTTTTTATTAGGGTAATACTAATAACTAGGCGTCGGTACCCGTTACAGGTGAATAATAGGCCTATATATTTTTAATGTTTGTGAAAAATAATGTATAAAATAGTTATTGGTCGAAACGCAATGTGCTTTACTACATGTTGAAGGACATTGGTTTCAAAGCAAAGAAATAACTAATTAGCTAAAAATCAGTAACATTTAAAATAACATAGGCTATTTCACCTATTAGAAAAACCACATTATATACATTATTAGTCAACACAACACCATATTAAATGAACACACTAATAAAGAGACTTAAATGATTATGTTTAAAAACCAGGCTGTTCAATGGTATTTATGTTTTTTAGCGCAATTTCCATACGGACAATTGCGATTATTAATTCATTATTTCTGGATGGGTGGATGTGTGTCTGCAGTGTGTCCGCAGCTTTAAGTCGTATCTCCTCCTCAACGAAGCAATATCGATGACTAGTTCCAAAAGCAAATATGTTAAGCAATTTCTGAGGATGATTGTGGGCCAAAAAAATTCCCGGAATTCCTTCCTGGATTTCCCAGAAAAGCCAAAAAAACCTCGAAAAAATACAATTTTTGGCCCATATCTCGGCAACCAGACCACTTAGGGACTTGAAACATTTACCAATCGATTCCTGCCATAATTTAGAACAATCTTGCCGAAGAAAGTTTTCAAAAAATAGTTGTCTTTTTTTAGCGCAAAAAAATATCCTTTCGTTCGGTCACAAAAAATTAAAAATTGTTATGGATAACATAAGGAAATTGCGCTTAAATTGTCACTAGTCTTTTTATTAACTTGTTTTAAAAGAAATTTTATTACTTTTGGCCGAAACAGTTGTATACTTTTCATAGCGTAAGTCTTGATAAGTAGATCTATAGATCTAAATCAAATTTGAATCAAACAGTTTATTGCTTCATATTCTAAAATTGGAAGATGACGCCATTAGTGTTGTGTTCTTTCCGTAGTTTGAACTTGTGGATTGTGACGTCATTGTTTATTGCGTTCTTGTCACAACCATAAACAATTTTCCGGTTGCATAATTAAAAATGTGTTCCTACATTCGAATATTGCTTTATTTTTATTTTCTTTCTTCAAATAAAATTTAGTTTATACATTTAAAAAATCCAATATAATATTTTCAACAAAAGTCCGTGTCTTAAAGCTCTCAATATATCGCTGAACACTGATCACATAGCCTCAAAATGTTGCGTAAAGAGAGAGAGAGAGAGAGAGAGAGAGAGAGAGAGAGAGAGAGAGAGAGAGAGAAAGTGGCCACATGGGCTTTTATATATTAGGTTAATAGTTTAATTTTGTTTATTGCACATGCAATTTATAGGACTTTAATTTTTAAAAATTCAACAGAGTTTCATGACTAAAAACTATTGCGCACCAAAGAACATGATAATGCCAGTATAATATTACGGAATAGTACTATGTCATCCTCCTAATTTCAGAAACTTTGAACTAATTTATAAAAAAAATAATTAATTAGGCATCCAATTAAGTCAAATTTAAAGTAGATATTTGACGCCAAATAGACATACAGACAGAAGAAGCTAGTTTTAAAAAGCTTGAAAAAACGACATTATTTTGGCTCTCCCTTTCCCCCCCTCCCCCCCCCCCCCCCCCCAAAAAAAAAATTAAAAAAATAAATAGTTACCTAGGATGATAATTTCATAAATACGTCCATATTTTCAAAATTCCTACAAAAACCACCAGACGTTTTTTAATAGTTACATATGTTTTTTTAGCTCTCCAGACGTGTTTAAAGAACGTCCATCTTGTTTGTTGTCTGAGAGTTTTTAGCTTACAGCTAAATTGTTTTTGTTTTCTTACCTCAGGCTACAAGAACAGCTACGACCAACTACTGGAGTTTCAATGTCCTAATGATGGCATCATCACCGGTGTAGAGAGTATCCATGACAACGGCCATGAAGACAGGATGTGGGCGTTTCAGTGTTGTAACCCGGATGGTGAGCCTCATGAAATTTTATATACTACTCGCGATCCCGTCCCGCGCTGATGTGCAATAATGGTTTCGCTGTCTGTCTGTCTATCTATCTATCTGTTGGGAACGCTATAGAGAAAACACAAGCAAAGTAAAAACTTTCACAGTAGAACGTAAACGAACCGTGACGTCACATGGAACATACAGTAGGAAATAGTCTAAAGCCGGAAAAGTACACACAATAATATGACGTCATTAATTCTAGAGTAATCACTCTAAGGGTCGGCGTGGTAAAGCTCATGGTTGCTAAACCGAAAAGTCTCGAGTTCGAACCCTCGGGCAGATGAGGCTCGTTAGCTGGGGACAGCCACTCTTCTAGGAGAGACAACTCCAAAATCAAACAACTGCGCCCGGGGACATATGTCCTCCCCCCCCCCCTCGCTACGCTGCTGGGTAGACTTTCTTCGGGGGGCTATGCCCCCTCCCTCTAAAGAGTTGCCTGAAAGAAACTCTAAATGCTCCTTTTGTCAATTTGATCTTAGGTGCAAGGTTTAGAGATACTACTACGACTATATTTAGTATGAATATGAATATACCGCACCAAAACCCGCACGAAACTACCCTTCCCACTCCCCAACCCGCCCCACTACCAACAGAACATCTCCCACTAATCACACCCCTCTATCCCTCACCTTACCCGACTAATCAAACTTCAGGTGACAGTGGCAGAATGATCTTTAGTAGGACCTCTGGCTGTTTACTGAAGGCCATTTCTCTTTAGAAGAGCCTCTAGCTGTGTACTGAAGGCAATATTCATCTTTAGTATGGTCAATGGCTGTTTAATTTAGGGTGAATGTTGATGTGTTTCAATTCATTGACATATTGTCTAATATCATAAAATTAACCAGCTACCATAATAAAAGTACCTATTTTGTTAAACTACACTAGTAACTGATTACAAATTATGACAGTCGTGCGCCTCATTTTGATAAATAAAGTAGTGTTTGTACCATTTAAACAGGCATTCATTTTTACTTTCTAGCATATACGAAGTATAGAGAAAGTCTTGTAATCGTGCAAAAAAAAAATCGAGATTTTTGCAAATCTCGACGTTTTACAGCTCCCTGAGTCGGAAAAACATTGTTTTGCAATCTTATCCGAATGTCTGTGTGTGTATGTGTGTGTATGTGTGTGTGTGTGTGTCTGTAAACACGATAACTTGAGTACCGTTACAGCTAGGTTGATGAAATTTCATGTATAAGTATTATATCACATATGTAGATCCGCATCAGCTTTTGCGCGATTTTCAACAACCGGAAGTGGAACTTTTTCTACTTTGAATTGTTCAAAAGCCTATAACTTGAGTACTATTTCAGATAGATAAATGAAATTTCTCATGTAAGTACAAGATCTCATTCTCTGCCTACTATCAAATTAAGAGTAATTTCCGTTGACCGGAAGTTGTAATTTACGCTATTTCCGATTTCTCAAAAAACGCATGTGAATGTATAAAGTACTAATAATATTCCGCACTATAATGCACATTTTGTTTGGCGTTCACTTGGTGTGTAATTCTTTTTTCTACGAGATTCTATTCTATTTTAAAAAGTTTATTTAAAATGGATTAAAAGTCATGTCTATAACCAGAGTTGCCATTCCCTGTTGTTTTATATAAGAATATTCGAGAAAGTTTAGTGGAGATCACTCCCGGTTTATTATTGTAAGAAGCACCGAATGACCTTTGACATTTTCGCTTGCAGGTCATGTCTCCCATGCGTGTGAGTACACGCCGTACGTCAACTCCTACGACCAGATGTTGACCTACAGGGTACCTGACGGCATGGTCCTCAGGGGAGTCACCAGTATCCATGACAACGGCCACGAGTAAGTTTACCGTTTGTTCAGAAAGTTTTAACTTTCCACATTGACACATACTAATAACAACACATTTATGTTATCACCACAAGTCGTCTACAGGTCATGTGTATTTCTTCCATGCCGTCTACAGATCGTGTGTAGTTTTTTTTTCATACATGAAAAGGGAAGTAAATGTTCACTTGAGGAAAAGCATAATGGCCTTTCAAAGAAAATCAACATAACAGCCGAACAAAACACAATGCATTCAAAATTTCGCTTTCTCAATTCACACGGTCACCATCAACTTTACCGTTTTGTGTCTAAAACACATGGAGCAGATGTTTAAGTGACCTCAGCATAAGAGAAGATAATGAGCCCAGTACTTTGAGTCAGGTACCCATCAGAGCTGGATGGACTCGGCAATGTCCTACTAACTCTAACCCGGGATCCGAACTCGAGACTTTCTGGTTAGCAGTTATAAGCTCTACCATACTGTATTGCTGTATTGGTTTATATTGAGCAAAAAGTAAAAACGTAACATTATAGGACTGTGCCTTAAGTAGGTTTAGCACCTCATCTCTGTTATCACCACCTTTCACTTAGCACCAAATCTCTGTTAGCACATTTACCAATACCACCTAAGTGTCACTTTCCTTCACCCTGACACAATCTTGTGTTTCAGAGATCGCATCTTTAAGTTTGACATCTGTAAACTGGATCCATTGAATATACCCGTTGGTTAGATAACAGAGTCATAGGACTTGGTTTTAACCACACACAAAAGGAGTTGTGTTGCTTCTCTCAAATTTTACAATTTAGTTCTACAATTACAGCTTGTACAGATAATAAATATAAATGCAGATTTGCCTGAAGTTTTGTTTGGTCTATTTACTTTAAGGTTTTGATCAATCGGTGCAATGAAATTTCACATAATCGTCAACAACAATGAAAAAAAAATTATGCGCGATTTTATTAGGCCATTTTTAAATCTACGAAATAACGATTAATATAAAACAAAAACACCACATCTAAATTTGGAAGTTGAATTTTCATCTTTGATCTTGAAATGATTCACTAAGTAGGCCTATAATGTAAACAACAGCAGAGTTTGTTCAGTTATGTCCCCTTTTATCCAAAAAAGTGAATACATGGAGTTGTGTCCCATTCTTCACCAACGTCAGTATCAGGAAAACACCGAGAGTCACTAGTCCAGCATAGAGCTACTTTATAGCACATAAATAATGTAGGAACTAAAAAACATCAAATATACACAAAAATATTACGTTTTAAAGCTGGTAAATAAAGCCCTCGTTACACAACAGAGGAGACCTAATAGGCCTACATCAGACAACATACATCAGGACCTTTATATAACTTCACTGCAATAAGTCAGCTATGAAAGTAATCAATGGAAAACAACCATTTAAACAACAAATAAAAATACAACCACGAACTTGAAACTTCCTAGATTTAAATATTTAAAAAACAATTATTAAGACAATAGCAAAATCCCGTTTAAGTTTGCTTGTATCTTGTACTTCCAGAGACCGAATCTTCAAATTTGACATCTGTAAACTTGACCCTCTGGGTGGACAAGGTGGCATCATTGTTGGCTAGCAGTGAACAATAAAGTAGAAATGGTCGGCACTTCTCGTCTTGTGTTCTAAGTACAATCAAGCTATTAAAAACACGGCATACAGATTGCACGCCTTGATTCGTTAAACAAATTTATACCCAAGTCTGAAGTCTGCTGTAAATTTCCCGCATGAGACCTAACAATCCATAGAGCAGATGAACTAGAGTTCTTGTCCTTGGTATTTGAAAGGATGGTGCGGTCAGCACTTTGCCCAGCCGCCTTTACGGTCACAAACAATAGTCAGGAACCTATTAGAGCCGTAGAGCCGTCCTACAGGATTGGGATCTGAACCAAAAACTTTAAGCAAGCAGTTGAGTGCCCTACGACTCGACCACGATGTGCTACTAAAATCTACGTAGTACTAAAATCTAAATCTCTTCACTGCCCTTTCCGTCTGTCTTCATATTATTTTCTCTCGCCTCTAAAATCTCGGCATTAATCATCTCCAACGAAAAACAAAAATAAAAAACATCCCAGTGATACACGAAACAAACTTAATCAGCTGCTCATGACAGTCCTGACTACCAGCAACAATCTAACATCTGTTATTAAATTTAAAAAAAAAACCCATAGTAATTGAATATCAAACGACAATTTTCTACATTTTCCACATTATTTAGCACTATTTTTCTTTGTCTTTTTCTTACTCCTTTAGAAATATGTAACCGTTTTAGTTAATCCTTGAAATACGAGCATGAATAGGAATTGATAAGAAAGATAAGGACCCAGTTCATGACTCATACACCTGTCTTGTCAGAACCGTCACCTCTCACACTACATACAGTACAACCTACCAGACGCCATGATGCTTACAACAGTTTGTGGGTTTCTTTTGACATTTATGACACTCCAGTGTCATGCCTGGATGACAGAATACGACCAGCACTTTAAGATCGAGTGTCCGGCTGGTCAAACTATCAAAACTCTAGAGAGTATCCATGACAACGGCAAAGAGGACCGAGTCTGGAACTTTGGGTGTGCCACCCCACCCCACGGGGCTATCCTCAGTGCTTGTGAATGGAGCGGTAAACGTTTCTTGATTTTTATTCTAGTGTCGTGTGGACAAACTAATAGTTGTTTATCTCATGTTGTTTACTTGGGCGTGTTGTCCAGTTATTGTGTGTTGTCCAGTTATTGTGTGTTGTCCAGTTATTGTGTGTTGTCCAGTTATTGCGTGTTGTCCAGTTATTGTGTGTTGTCCAGTTATTGTGTGTTGTCCAGTTATTGTGTGTTGTCCAGTTATTGTGTGTTGTCCAGTTATTGCGTGTTGTCCAGTTATTGCGTGTTGTCCAGTTATTGTGTGTTGTCCAGTTATTGTGTGTTGTCCAGTTATTGTGTGTTGTCCAGTTATTGTGTGTTGTCCAGTTATTGCGTGTTGTCCATTCAATGGATCTATCTGAAACATACATCATAACACATGTAATGCATATAGTCCACTAATTTCATGTAGTGTCCAGTTATTGCTATAGTCCCTGTCTCATCCGCGTATATTTTTTCCTGCTACATTTTTTTCCGACGACTATAAAATAATATTTATGGTTTTAATCTAATTAGAAACTACTCATTGTGTTGATTATCAAAATGTCAAAATGACGTTCAGGTCCTAGGACCTTTGACCACAGGAGCTTTGACCATAGGGGGTTTGACCATAGGGGGTTTGACCACAGCGGGGCTTTGACCATAGGAGCTTTGACCATAGGGGGTTTGACCACAGGTGTTTTGTCAGCAGAGGGTCTTTGATCTCAGGTGTTTTGTCCAATGCTGTCCATATATGGTAAGGATTTATTTTAAAAGTTGCTAAATTATATTTTAAATTTCGACATGATGTAATAATATGGTCAAACAGATGTACTGACATATTTGCGTGCTATAGCACATCTGTCATTTAGTTAACCATTTTATGTATTACATCTTTGACTATATTGTTGGCAAGTTTTGTATCATTTTTTATCCTTTATATATGCTATGTATTTTCAAGTACTTCTACATTATTTATTTGTGAAACTTGTTATATGTCGCATTATTTGTGTTTCATTTATATTTAAAATAAATCTATGAGGCCTAGCACCAGCCTTTATGTGGAGACTAAAATATAGTTCTTGGCTTTTTTAAATACATGTTAATTTCTATTAACGTACTCTCAGGAAACATGTATAAAATCGTGTTAATTGTATCACACCTATGATCAAAGCCGGACACAGCGCTTGTGATCAAACACCCGTTTATAGACCACCTGTGATCAAAGACCCTCTGCTTAGAAAACACATGTGGTCAAACCCCCTTTGACCACAGGTACTTTGACCATAGGGGGTTTGACCATAGTGGGTTTGACCACAGCGGAGCTTTGACCGTAGGGGCTTTGACCATAGGGGGTTTGATAACATATAACATGAACATTTTTTTCGGGCAAGTGGCATAAGGGCATTTGTCGCTTTCGGACACTTGTCCATCGGGAAAACTTCCGCTCCTCTACCACTATTTAAAATTTAAAAAAAAAAATGTAGTATTTAAAATATAATATAACTACCACCAACAATTTTGTTTGTAGTTATTTATATAGTGGTACGTTCTTATTTATTAAAAAAATGTAAGGAAAATACATTTGTTTTGCTTCTTTTTAATCTACATGAAATCTTAAAAAAAACAACGTTTAAAAAATGTACGGTGATAATAGCATGAAAAATTAATAATTTTTAAAGTAATCATTAAGTAATTTTTAGAAATAAATTAAAACATTAGCCGTTTTATGTCACGTTGTATCGTCATCTGGTCTTGACCTTCGTGTCAAGCTTGAAAGAAATCGGTCAGGTAGAATGGGATTGGTTGAAATATCTATCCCAATGTTTTGATCTATGACAAGGTAAGTAAAACTACAAAAACCAATAAACACGGACGAGGAACCAAGTTCAACAAAAGCTGGCCATTTAAATTTAAAATAATTAATAGCACCGTGCATTAAAAACATATTTACTACTTTGAGAGAATTATTGATCAAGGCAATTAACTGATAATGTCATAGACAATTTTCCTATTTTAGGCTACAAGAACAGCTACGACCAGCTGCTGGAGTTTCAATGTCCTAACGACGGCATCATCACCGGTGTAGAGAGTATCCATGACAACGGTCATGAAGACAGGATGTGGGGGTTTCAGTGTTGTAACCCAGATGGTAAGCCTTATGATATTTTACTATGTATATAAACTATTGCTTTAGCTGATTCTTATTATAACAGATGGTAAGCCTTATGATATTTTACTATGTATATAAACTATTGCTTTAGCTGATTCTTATTATAACAGATGGTAAGCCTTATGATATTAAGCAATGTATAATAACTATTGCTGTAGCCGATTCTTATTATAACAGATGGTAAGCCTTATGATACTTAGCAATGTATATAAACTATTGCTTTGGCTGATTCAGTGCATAACCTATGTTTTGAAAGTTGTACTAGGGAGTCCCCAAGGAAGGGTTGCTGCTAGAGTTTAGTTAGAACAATTGGATTTTGGTTGGTCTCTGATAGCAATGGAGCTAGGACAAACTTGTCATAGGCAGATTCGTCTTTTTTTTGGGACACCACACTTTAAAAAAAATGTGTGTGGGTGTGTGTATCTAGGGGGGGGGGGTGACCAACTGGTAGTGGTGTTTTCTTAAACACTGTCAGCACCAAATTAAACACCGTTTTTTTCTCATATTGAAAAATATTTTATTTGACTATTAAATTTTTATTTTTATTGTAAGAAGCACCGAATGACCTTTGACACTTTCACTTGCAGGTCATGTCTCCCATGCGTGTGAGTACACGCCGTACGTCAACCAATACGACCAGATGTTGACCTACAGGGTGCCGGACGGCATGGTCCTGAGGGGAGTCACCAGTGTCCATGACAACGGCCACGAGTAAGTTCACTTTTGTTGAGTTAACATAACATTCCAGTTAACACCACATTTCGTTTAGCACAGCATGTATGTTAACACCACATTCCATTTAGCTTCAAATGTTTGTTAACATCAGACTTAAAAAACGTTCCCTGTTCTTACCTGAAGGCTAAGGGGCAAGTGAAGTAGAGTTCACCTGTTTTTGTGACCTCGGTATATGAAGCGATAGTGTGGTCAGCATTCGTCTTTATTTTCTATAACGTGAGCAAATTAGCACCATATTTCATTTAGCACATATTGATAGCACCACATATTGATAGCACCACATATTGATAGCACCACATATTGATAGCACCACATATTAGTCGGCACCACATATTGATAGCACCACATATTGATAGCACCACATATTAGTCGGCACCACATATTGATAGCACCACATATTGATAGCACCACATATTGATAGCACCACATATTGATAGCACCACATATTGATAGCACCACATATTGATAGCACCACATATTGATAGCACCACATATTGATAGCACCACATTTAGGCAACATCAGGACATCTCTGTAGCACATCTACCAATACCAACTTAGCAGCACTCCCCCTAACCTTGACACAATCTTGTGTTTTCAGAGATCGCATCTTTAAGTTTGACATCTGTAAACTGGATCCATTGAATATACCCGTTGGTTAAATAACACAGAGTTATGGAACTTTGGTAATAACCAAAAGAGTTGTGGTTCTTTGATAAATAAAACGGAATCCTAGCAAGTGAATATGCAACAGCAGAGCGTGGACAAAAACCATGTGTGTCTCCCATGTTCAAATAATAAATTTAAAAAGCGCATGGTTGCCTGAAGTTTTGTTCAATACAATTTTATTAAGATTGTCAACTTTTTTGCCGCTCAGTACTGTTAGATTTCACCAAATCGTCAATTATGATCAGATAAAATTCTTATCGCTTTTACTCGGGCATATTTTAAATTTAAAAAAAAAATTATGAAGATTAAAAAAACAAAAATTTTATCACTTTATTCCTATGATGAATGTAGAGTCACAAAGTAGGCCAACATGGTAAACAGGATTAGAGATTGTTCAGTAACGTCCCCTTTCATCCAATAAAGTAAAGCCTGAATGTGTCCCACTCATCACCAAAATTAGTATCAGGAAAACAGTCTTACATGTTCAACAGAGCCCCCCCCCCCCCCCCGAACAAAATGAAATTTATATAGAAAATATATACTTTTAACAGTGTCCGACCCCCCCCCCCCCCCCCGAAGAAAGTCTACCGCCCCCCACCCCCCACACCCCGAAAATTTCAAGTGTCTCACCCCGGAGAAAAATGTCTGCAAGAAACACTGAACTACAAATGCCTAAGAAGACCTACACCAAACTACATAATTAATAATCCCTAAAAATTTAGAGTGTAAATAACTTCACGACAACTGGGTAAATAGAAAAAAAAAATCACCAAACAAAACAAAAAGTGCTAATTCAAGCAACAATTGGAAATAAAAACTGAGAATTTTGAACTTCTAGGATTCAATTATTTTAAATGATTGGGATAATAGTAAAAGCCCGTTAAGTTCTGTTGATGAATTTAAATCTTAAACAGTCGCTTCTTGCCATCTGGTCACCAGTGTTTCTTCCAGACTTTTTTCTCCGGTGAGGGGGGGGGGGGGCACTTGAAATTTTCGGGGGGGGGGGCGGTAGACTTTCTCGAGGGGGGGGGGGCGAACACTGTTTAAAGTATATATTTTCAATATAAATTATATAAATTTCATTTCGTTCAGGGGGGGGGGGGTAGATTTTTTTCGGGGGACGAAGAGATGCCTGGCAGGAACTCTGCTGGTCACCGAGTGGATTCTAACCAGCAGTAGAGTTTGTTCAGTTATGTCCCCTTTTATTCAAGAAAGTTAATATCAGAAAAACACCGAGAGTCACTAGTCCAGCATAGAGCTACAACTTTATAGCACATATAGGGTTGAAAAGCAAAAGAAAATGAAACACAAAAAAGTAAACATTAGTCTTGTACATAAAGACCTCACTGCTCTACAGAAAAGACCTAATATAAGACCTTTATATATCCTCACTATCACAAAGAAAATAAGAAATTAATCAATAGATAAATTCAAGCAAGAAAAGGACATAAAACCAACAACTCTTAACTTTACATATTGAACTAATTAAGAAAAAAATTACGATAAAAGTTTGCTTGTATCTTGTACTTCCAGAGACCGAATCTTCAAAACCAAGAACTTTTAATTTTAAATATTGAACTAACTAAGAAAATAATTGGGATAATAGTTTGCTTGTATCTTGTACTTCCAGAGACCGAATCTTCAAATTTGACATCTGTAAACTTGACCCTCTGGGTGGACAAGGTGGCATCATTGTTGGCTAGCAGTGAACAATAAAACGCTCGGCACTTCTCGTCTTGTGTTCTAAGTACAGTCAAGCTATGGTGTTTGTTTCATGTGTACAATGTTCTCCCATTCAACATAGAGTTGCGCTAATTTCTTATTTTTAAAATTAATTTTTAATCATTTATATTTCTTTGTCTCGGCATTTTAAAAAAAAACTAAAATTTTTTACCTACATTTAATGAAAACAGCAATATCTTATTTAGCAATAATAATTATAATATATAAATATTTTAAAAAATTGCCTTTGGATATTACAAAAAACAAAAACAAATGTAGAATTGACTTTTATTTATTAAAAAAAATACTACTAAATGATTCTTTCATAAATTGATATTTCGCCAAGTTGGTCATAGTCCAGTTTTTGTATCGCCGAGCTGGTTGTCGCCCAATAGATAATCACCCAATAGACAATCGCCCAATAGATAATCACCCAATAGACAATCGCCCAATAGATAATCACCCAATAGACAATCGCCCAATAGATAATCACCCAATAGACAATCACCCAATAGACAATCGCCCAATAGATAATCACCCAATAGACAATCGCCCAATAGATAATCACCCAATAGACAATCGCCCAATAGATAATCACCCAATAGACAATCGCCCAATAGATAATCACCCAATAGACAATCACCCAAATGACAATCGCCCAATAGATAATCACCCAATAGACAATCACCCAAATGACAATCGCCCAATAGATAATCACCCAATAGACAATCACCCAAATGACAATCACCCAATAGACAATCACCCAATCGACTGCGTTCGATCCCATCTTTTCTCCAGTGTATAACTTGAGTACTGTTTGAGATAGTTGAACGAAATTTCACTTTTAAGTAAAAGATCTACTTTCTTGCCTTCTATAAAAGGTGGAGTAATTTCTGTGGACCAGAAGTAGTAATTTACGCTATTTCCGATTTCTCAAAATACGCATCTGAATTTATAAAGTACTATTACTATTCTGCACTATTATACACAGATTGTTTGGCGTTCACTTGGTGCGCGATTCTATTTTCTACGAGATTCTATTCTATTTTAAAAAGTATAAGTAATTAAAAATCATGTCTATATCCCGTGTTGCCATCCCCCGTAGTGTTATATAAGAATATTCGAGAAAGTTTAGGGGAGATCACTCCCGGTTTATTTTCTTTAAGCTTTGAATGTGAAGTTTGATTTAGGTTCAAGACTATAGCCACTATAGTTGTGGTAGGTTAGTGCTACTTCTAGTAGTGGCGCGAAAACTACTTGAAACAAAACGAGAGTAAGGAGCCCCTCTCAACTTTCTCCATGATTCTTACATAACAGTAGGTGTCGGGCTGGCGATTTCAGTGAAATACAGCTGTAGAAATAGTAGGTTTGTGACAAAGTCGTTTTTTTTTTCAAGAGACACAGAGGCAAAAAGTACTTAGAACATGCAGCTTTATAATAATAGAAAGAAAAATGTGAAATTGTTAACTTTTTTGAGAAACCGAAAATAGAGTAAAGTACCACTTCCGGTTACCGAAGACAGTTCAAGCGTTAATAGAAACCTATGTAGAGGGTTTCGTCCACCTATCGGAGTGATAATCAAACTATCATGTTCACCAGGTAGTGGATTAAAACACCACTTCCGTTTATCGGAACCTGCTCAAAAGTTGTCGGAATTTATAAAACCAGAAATATAGTAAAGTATATTGGAAACCATTAAAAAAACCAAAGTATACAATTTTATTTCTAAAATTTCTTTTACTTAAATAAAACAGTACTCAAGTTATCGTGTTGACTCCAACCGGTTACCGAAAATCGCTCAGAAGTTTTTAATCGAACCGAGGAATACGATCTAATAAGTATATTTGAAATTTAGTCAACCTAACTGTGAAACATTAATCAAAAGTTATCGTGTTCACTGAATGACAAACAGACGTACAGAAATAAAAACATGCAGGCGACATTGCAAATCTGGAATTTCGATTTTTTGCAAAATAACAAATCTCCTTATCCCAGAATGTAAAGATAAATTTGTAGATAAATAAATGAGAAACAAATATAAGTTTATCGTATTTACGTTTATTTAAAGCTGTAAGAAAAAGTGTATATAACGAGTATCAAAATATGTATATGGGTAGAAAACATTTCGTCATGATTGAGTCAAGATTGTGTCATGATTGTTCCACCTGTTTGTATCATGTCGATATATACTTGTCTACTAAGCTAATCTACTTTCAATCTACCATCAATGGTAATAAGATAAACAAAAGGAATAATAAAAATATAAAATAATAATAATACATGTTCGATAAATAGATAATAATGACTTTAGGGGACCATAATACTTTCAAAATCAAATAACTGAACTATGTTCAAACTCAGCCCCAATGTCACGCCTTCAAACATCTTGGTAACCCTAACCATCACACGACTCTCCACAAACCATCACACGACTCTCCACAAACCCTGACGCAACCTTTAATCTGACAAAGTTAGCCTGAAATTGTTGTACATGTTGAACGAGTGAACGGTCGGGTTGTTCTGTGTCTGGTTGGTCGGTGTCTGTTGTTAGTTGTTGGTCTCTCAGTCAGGGCAGACAGCTACACGTTCTAACACTGGGCTTGGCCTATAGGTACAGGGGCACCAGTCACATACCCACTAGGGGGCAGACTCACGCTAGATGCAGACAGAGAGGCAGACTCACGCTAGAGGCAGACACGCGTTTGAGGCAGATACACGCTAGAGGCAGACACACGCTAGAGGCAAACACGCTAGAGGCAGAGGCACGCTAGAGGCAGACACACGCTAGAGGCAGAGACACGCTAGGGACAGACACACGCTGGGGGCAGACACACGCTAGAGGCAGAGACACGCTAGAGGCAGACACACGCTAGAGGCAGACACACGCTAGAGGCAGACACACGCTAGGGACAGACACACGCTAGAGGCAGACAGAGAGGCAGACACACGCTAGGGACAGACACAAGTTTGAGGCAGACACACGCTAGAGGCAGACACACGCTAGGGACAGACACAAGTTTGAGGCAGACACACGCTAGGGGAAGACACACGCTAGAGGCAGACACCCCTAGAAGACGAGAACCATTACAGGCAGACTACTACTAGGGGCAGAGAATCGTCAGGGGCAGACAAGCAGCACTGAGCGTGTGATGGTCTAGTTGCTGCGTGGCTTGGGCTGGGCCAGAAGACTGTCACGTTCATAGAGTTTCGTCTCTTCCCAGTTGGCTGGTGGCCTTCCTACAGGGGGAGATACAAGGCATGAGGCAATGTTAACTTCCTACAGGGGAGATACAAGGCATGAGACAATGTTAACTTCCTACAGGGGAGATACAAGGCATGAGACAATGTTAACTTCCTACAGGGGAGATACAAGGCATGAGACAATGTTAACTTCCTACAGGGGGAGATACAAGGCATGAGACAATGTTAACTTCCTACAGGGGGAGATACAAGGCATGAGGCAATGTTAACTTCCTACAGGGGAGATACAAGGCATGAGACAATGTTAACTTCCTACAGGGGAGATACAAGGCATGAGACAATGTTAACTTCCTACAGGGGAGATACAAGGCATGAGACAATGTTAACTTCCTACAGGGGGAGATACAAGGCATGAGACAATGTTAACTTCCTACAGGGGGAGATACAAGGCATGAGACAATGTTAACTTCCTACAGGGGGGGGGGAGATACAAAGCATGAGGCAATGTTAACTTCCTACAGGGGGAGATACAAAGCATGAGGCAATGTTAACTTCCTACAGGGGAGATACAAAGCATGAGACAATGTTAACTTCCTACAGGGGAGATACAAAGCATGAGGCAATGTTAACTTCCTACAGGGGAGATACAAAGCATGAGGCAATGTTAACTTCCTACAGGGGAGATACAAAGCATGAGGCAATGTTAACTTCCTACAGGGGGGGGGAGATACAAAGCATGAGGCAATGTTAACTTCCTACAGGGGGAGATACAAAGCATGAGACAATGTTAACTTCCTACAGGGGAGATACAAAGCATGAGACAATGTTAACTTCCTACAGGGGAGATACAAAGCATGAGGCAATGTTAACTTCCTACAGGGGGGGGGGAGATACAAAGCATGAGGCAATGTTAACTTCCTACAGGGGGAGATACAAGGCATGAGACAATGTTAACTTTCTACAGGGGAGATACAAAGCATGAGACAATGTTAACTTCCTACAGGGGGAGATACAAGACATGAGGCAATGTTAACTTCCTACAGGGGAGATACAAGACATGGGGCAATGTTAACTTCCTACAGGGGGGGGGAGATACAAAGCATGAGGCAATGTTAACTTCCTACAGGGGGAGATACAAGACATGAGGCAATGTTAACTTCCTACAGGGGGAGATACAAGACATGGGGCATTATAAATCTGTAAACAGCCATACATTCTGCACACAGACATACAATCTACAAACAGCCATACAATCTTCAAACAGTCATACAATCTGCAAACAGCCATACAATCTCCAAACAGCCATACAATCTGCAAGCAGCCATACAATCTGCAAACAGTCATACAATTTTTATACAGTCATACAATCTTCAATCAGCCATACAATCTACAAACAGCCATACAATCTTCAAACAGTCATACAATCTGCAAACAGCCATACAATCTCCAAACAGCCATACAATCTGCAAGCAGCCATACAATCTGCAAACAGTCATACAATTTTTATACAGTCATACAATCTTCAATCAGCCATACAATCTACAAACAGCCATACAATCTACAAACAGCCATACAATCTACAAACAGCCATACAATCTTCAATCAGCCATGCAATCTGCAAACAGCCATACAATCTGCAAACAGCCATACAATCTGCAAACAGCCATACAATCTGCAAGCAGCCATACAATCTTCAATCAGCCATACAATCTTCACACAGCTATACAATCTACAAGCAGCCATAAAACAAAAGTGAGACCCACTGTAGACCGGCTCTAGAAACTCCTGTATGGTCATCTCCTCCACGTCCTTGTACCTGTCCACGTCACTGAAGTCACAGACCGTGTAGAGCTCTGAGTCGTAGAGCACCTCACAGGCGAACTCACGCTTGGCCCACTCCTCGGGTTTTTCTGTTCGACACACACAACACGGCGTTACCATGGACACAAGAGCATGTTTTATATGGGGTGTCTTGAATTAAGGGGGGTGGGGGAATAAAGTTTCATTTGGGCCTAGGCTAAACATGATCCCGGGTTTCTAGTGTGTATAGACACAATAAAATGTTTGAGGCGTTGGGTATTTGACTGTAGCCGGGTACGCCTTAAACTAACACAAACAGCATTTACCCATCTGACTTTATATAATCTTACTAACACAAACAGCATTTACCCATCTGACTTTATATAATCTTACTAACACAAACAGCATTTACCCATCTGACTTTATATAATCTTACTAACACAAACAGCATTTACCCATCTGACTTTATATAATCTTACTAACACAAACAGCATTTACCCATCTGACTTTATATAATCTTACTAACACAAACAGCATTTACCCATCTGACTTTGGGGTTTCGTCCCCGGAGCTTTAGGTGCCAGGATCCCTAGGTCAGTGCTGACGAAGACCACAAGTCCCGACTTGGTGATGGCGAAGCGGCCCTCCTTGAGAGCATCAGCCATATCCTTACGGGTCAGGTCCACTTGGGAGCTCTGTAGCTCCTCAGTGATGGATTTGTCGCTGAAGAACAGTTCCATGTCTTCCTGCTCGGACGTGATGGACATGTCATCAGCTGTAAGAGAAAACATGTCATCAGCTGTAGGATAAAACATGACATGTCATCAGCTGTAGGATAAAACATGTCATCAGCTGTAGGAGAAAACATGTCATCAGCTGTAGGAGAAAACATGACATGTCATCAGCTGTAGGATAAAACATGTCATCAGCTGTAGGATAAAACATGTCATCAGCTGTAGGAGAAAACACGTGATCAGTTGTAGGAGAAAACATGTCATCAGCTGTAGGAGAAAACATGTCATCAGCTGTAGGAGAAAACATGACATGTCATCAGCTGTAGGAGAAAACATGGACATGTCATCAGCTGTAGGTGAAAACATGGACATGTCATCAGCTGTAGGAGAAAACATGACATGTCATCAGCTGTAGGATAAAACATGACATGTCATCAGCTGTAGGAGAAAACATGTCATCAGCTGTAGGAGAAAACATGTCATCAGCTGTAGGAGAAAACATGTCATCAGCTGTAGGATAAAACATGACATGTCATCAGCTGTAGGATAAAACATGTCATCAGCTGTAGGATAAAACATGTCATCAGCTGTAGGAGAAAACACGTGATCAGTTGTAGGAGAAAACATGTCATCAGCTGTAGGAGAAAACATGTCATCAGCTGTAGGAGAAAACATGGACATGTCATCAGCTGTAGGTGAAAACATGGACATGTCATCAGCTGTAGGAGAAAACATGACATGTCATCAGCTGTAGGATAAAACATGACATGTCATCAGCTGTAGGAGAAAACATGTCATCAGCTGTAGGAGAAAACATGTCATCAGCTGTAGGAGAAAACATGTCATCAGCTGTAGGAGAAAACATGTCATCAGCTGTAGGAGAAAACATGGACATGTCATCAGCTGTAGGAGAAAACATGACATGTCATCAGCTGTAGGATAAAACATGGACATGTCATCAGCTGTAGGAGAAAACATGTCATCAGCTGTAGGAGAAAACATGTCATCAGCTGTAGGAGAAAACATGTCACCAGCTGTAGGAGAAAACATGTCACCAGCTGTAGGAGAAAACATGTCATCAGCTGTAGGAGAAAACATGGACATGTCATCAGCTGTAGGAGAAAACATGACATGTCATCAGCTGTAGGATAAAACATGGACATGTCATCAGCTGTAGGAGAAAACATGTCATCAGCTGTAGGAGAAAACATGTCATCAGCTGTAGGAGAAAACATGTCATCAGCTGTAGGAGAAAACATGTCATCAGCTGTAGGAGAAAACATGTCATCAACTGTAGGAGAAAACATGTCATCAGCTGTAGGAGAAAACATGTCATCAGCTGTTGGAGAAAACATGTCATCAGCTGTAGGATAAAACATGGACATGTCATCAGCTGTAGGATAAAACATGACATCAGCTGTAGGATAAAACATGTCATGTCATCAGCTCTAGGATAAAACATGTCATCAGCTGTAGGATAAAATATGTCATCAGCTGTAGGATAAAACATGTCATCAGCTGTAGGATAAAATATGTCATCAGCGGTAGGATAAAATATGTCATCAGCTGTAGGATAAAATATGTCGTGTCATCAGCTGTAGGATAAAACATGTCATGACATCAGCTGTTGAATAATACATTAAAGTCTGTATGTATAATGATAACCGCACCACTCTTGTATTTGAACAGGAACAAACAAAAGTTTCCTTATTGTTAGTGTCAGAATAATTCACTAAAAATTGAAAGAACAGAAATTGAAAGGAACAGAAATTGAAAGGAACAGACATTGAAAAGAACAGAAATTGAAAGGAACAGAAATTGAAAGGAACAGACATTGAAAGGAACAGACATTGAAAGGAACAGAAATTGAAAGGAACAGACATTGAAAGGAACAGACATTGAAAGGAACAGAAATTGAAAGGAACAGAGATTGAAAGGAACAGAAATTGAAAGAACAGAAATTGAAAGGAACAGAAATTGAAAAGAACAGAAATTGAAAGGAACAGAAATTGAAAGGAACAGACATTGAAAGGAACAGAAATTGAAAGAACAAAAATTGAAAGGAACAGAAATTGAAAGGAACAGACATTGAAAGGAACAGACATTGAAAAGAACAGAAATTGAAAGGAACAGAAATTGAAAGGAACAGAAATAGAAAGGAACAGAAATTGAAAAGAACAGAAAATGAAAGGAACAGAAATAATTGAAAGGAACAGAAATTGAAAGGAACAGAAATTGAAAAGAACAGAAATTGAAAAGAACAGAAATTGAAAAGAACAGAAATAGAAAACGCTGACAAAACATCACAACACTTTACCTATTTGATCCGCATCGTCTTTCACTGGAGATTAGAAATATCCATGCTTATACATAATACTCGTTATATATATATATATATATATATATATATATATATGTATATATATATATATATATATATATATATATATATATATATATATATGGATTATTGTGTGTATCCAACTTTTACATGCGTATGTAAATTTTTGAGGGTAGTAATTGAAATGGATTAAAAATATAGTCCTATATACACGAGTGATGAAAGCGTCGCCTCACACCAAGATATACTTCACGCATAAACTAGTCTGTACACTAGTACACTTCTCTCTCGGCGATAGTCCAGATTTTAAACTGCTACATGCACGGGTATCCTATACCATCTTATACTAAGCGACTAATTTGGCTCACCTTTTCGTAAAATATCTTTTAATTTCTTGAAGTCTGAAAAAAAAGTATTGATATGCTTTCACTAACATTTTCAGATGTTCACTTAATTAAACTAAATTAGCAATTTAACAGCAAGTCCGGGAACCCCATTAACCCACTGATCCCCCACCACCCCACCCCTCCACACCCAGCATACCTTTTAATCTGTCTGTGTCGGCACCTGTAGAATAAACAAGTTAATAAAAAGTCTAGTGACAATTTAAGCGCAATTTCCTTAATTAATTTTTTGTGACCGAAAGAAAGGATATTTTTGAAAACTTTCTTCGGCAATATTGTTCTAAATTATGGCAGAAATCGTTTGGTAAATGTTTCAAGTCGCTAAGTGGTCTGGTTGCCGAGATATGGGCAAAAAAACTGCATTTTTTCGAGTTTTTTTTGGCTTTTCCGGGAAATCCAGGAAGGAATTCCTCGGAAATTGCTTAACATATTTGCTTTTGGAACTAGTCCTCGATATTGCTTCGTTGAGGAGGAGATACGACTTAAAGCTGCGGACACACATCCACCCATCACCAGAAATGACGAGTTAATAATAGCAATTGTCCAGTATGGAAATTGCGCTAAAAAGCATTTGGTAAACTCGTCTAAAATAATTGAATTGTTTCACGAGAAGTCGAATTTGTTAAAAAGTTAAATTTTTTAATAAGTACGAAACAAATGACCAGGTAATTTCTGGCTCAAATTTTAAAGTAAACATTTACATACGATCAAAAACAAACTAAAGCATTGAGTTATTAATTAAGGACTTCTATTTTAAGCGCTCGAAAATTTAAGTTTATTATGTAAATATAATGATAAAGTTAATTTGAAAGAACAAGGTTGAATATTGAAAATAAGTGGTGGATAACACAAACAAATATAATGTTCGAACATAAAGCAAAAAAAAAAACTTACCTCCTTCTTTCCAATCTGTAACAATGAATTCAAGACGTTACAGAGATAAGGATAATTAAAAAATAAAGTGCATGTTACACCACATGACAAATACCACCTCACCACCACATGACAAAACCACCCCACCACCACATCACAAAACCACCCCACCACCACATGACAAAACCACCCCACCATCCCATGACAAATACTACCTCACCACCCCATGACAAATACCACCCCACCACCACATGACAAATACCACCCCACCACCACATGACAAAACCACCCCAACACTACATGACAAATACCACCTCACCACCACATGGCAAAACCACCCCAACACCCCATGACAAATACCACCCCACCACCACATGACAAAACCACCCCACCATCCCATGACAAATACCACCTAACCACCACATGACAAATACCACCCCACCACCACATGACAAACCACCCCAACACCACATGACAAATACCACCCCACCACCACATGACAAAACCACCCCACCATCCCATGACAAACACCACCCCAACACCACATGACAAATACCACCTCACCACCACATGACAAATACCACCCATGACATCTGTACATTTGCCACCTATGACAAATGTCATAGGTGCTCCAACTCCCAACCTGAAGGACAACTCCAGCCAACTCTTACCTTACAACATCAGCCAACATTTACCTTACAACTCCAGCCAACTCTTACCTTACAACCCCAGCCAACTCTTGCCTTACAACATCAGCCAACACTTACCTTACAACTCCAGCCAACACTTACCTTACAACATCAGCCAACACTTACCTTACAACTCCAGGCAACACTTACCTTACAACATCAGCCAACATTTACCTTACAACTCCAGCCAACTCTTACCTTACAACATCAGCCAACACTTACCTTACAACATCAACCAACCCTTACCTTACAACTCCAGCCAACTCTTACCTTACAACATCAGCCAACACTTACCTTACAACATCAGCCAACCCTTACCTTACAACATCAGCCAACCCTTACCTTACAACATCAGCCAACCCTTATCTTACAACTTCAGCCAACACTTACCTTACAACTTCAGCCAACACTTACCTTACAACTTCAGCAAACCCTTACCTTACAACTTCAGCAAACACTTACCTTACAACTTCAGCAAACCCTTACCTTACAACATCAGCCAACCCTTACCTTACAACTTCAGCCAACACTTACCTTACAACTTCAGCCAACACTTACCTTACAACATCAGCCAACCCTTACCTTACAACTTCAGCCAACACTTACCTTACAACTTCAGCCAACACTTACCTTACAACTTCAGCAAACCCTTACCTTACAACTTCAGCCAACACTTACCTTACAACTTCAGCCAACACTTATCTTACAACTTCAGCAAACCCTTACCTTACAACTTCAGCAAACCCTTACCTTACAACTTCAGCCAACACTTACCTTACAACTTCAGCCAACACTTACCTTACAACTTCAGCCAACACTTACCTTACAACTTCAGCCAACACTTACCTTACAACTTCAGCCAACACTTACCTTACAACTTCAGCAAACCCTTACCTTACAACATCAGCCAACCCTTACCTTACAACTTCAGCCAACACTTACCTTACAACTTCAGCCAACACTTACCTTACAACATCAGCCAACCCTTACCTTACAACTTCAGCCAACACTTACCTTACAACTTCAGCCAACACTTACCTTACAACTTCAGCAAACCCTTACCTTACAACTTCAGCCAACACTTACCTTACAACTTCAGCCAACACTTATCTTACAACTTCAGCAAACCCTTACCTTACAACTTCAGCAAACCCTTACCTTACAACTTCAGCCAACACTTACCTTACAACTTCAGCCAACACTTACCTTACAACTTCAGCCAACACTTACCTTACAACTTCAGCCAACACTTACCTTACAACTTCAGCCAACACTTACCTTACAACTTCAGCCAACACTTACCTTACAACTTCAGCCAACACTTACCTTACAACATCAGCCAACCCTTACCTTACAACATCAGCCAACCCTTACCTTACAACATCAGCCAACCCTTACCTTACAACATCAGCCAACCCTTACCTTACAACATCAGCCAACTCTTACCTTACAACTTCAGCAAACCCTTATCTTACAACTTCAGCCAACACTTACCTTACAACTTCAGCCAACACTTACCTTACAACTTCAGCAAATACCACCTCACCACCACATGACAAATACCACCTCACCACCACATGACAAATACCACCCATGACATCTGTACATTTACCACCTATGACAAATGTCATAGGTGCTCCAACTCCCAACCTGAAGGACAACTTTAGCCAACCCTTACCTTACAACATCAGCCAACCCTTACCTTACAACATCAGCCAACCCTTACCTTACAACATCAGCCAACCCTTACCTTACAACTTTAGCCAACCCTTACCTTGTGCAATGATCGAAGCTGATCTGGACAGCCTCCCCACACCAACACGTACAGAAGTCGAAGATTCGTCGTCCATTTCTTAAAAACAGACATGTGTTATTTACATAAAAACAAACATTCGTTATTTTCACTTAACTCGATTTACTTTGTTGGTCATTCTTTGACGCCATACCAGTTTTAATTAAACAAATTAAACACGTCACTCAAGTTTTAATTAATTAATTAAACTAAGCAACTTACGTTTTATTAAAATAATTCAAAGACGTCACTTAAATATTTTTTTATAACCTAACGAAGTTAAATTGACTGAACGAAACTGATTACCCTTGAGCATCTGCTGAATATTATCCGATACTGACTGAGACAGCATCTGTGAGTCAACTGTGGATAGAACAAGGTTGCTGTCGTTAGTTGACTCGTACAGATGTGTACACACTAATTCAATATTACATCTACCAGCATTATCAACATTTTCATGCAACACGCTACTTCAGTACTACATCTACCAACATTGTCAACACATTCATACAACACACTACTTCAGTACTACATCTACCAACATTATCAACAAGTTCCTGCAACAAACCCAAACAAGTCCCCGCAACACTGACCTCTCTTTAATCCAAGCTTTCTATCTGGCGTCAATGTACCTGGTGGTGCTAGAATCAAGAAAAATAAATTGTGTGGTCATCTTACAAGAAAAATATCTGAAACCTTTTTGTTATCTTACAAGAAAAATATCTGAAACCTTTTTGTTATCTTACAAGAAAAATATCTGAAACCTTTTTGTCATCTTACAAGAAAAATATCTGTTACCTTTTTTGTTATCTTACAAGAAAAATATCTGTAACCTTTTTGTCATCTTACAAGAAAAATATCTGTAACCTTTTTTGTCATCTTACAAGAAAAATATCTGTAACCTTTTTTGTCATCTTACAAGAAAAATATCTGTAACCTTTTTTGTCATCTTACAAGAAAAATATCTGTAACCTTTTTTGTCATCTTACAAGAAAAATATCTGTAACCTTTTTTGTCATCTTACAAGAAAAATATCTGTAACCTTTTTTGTTATCTTACAAGAAAAATATCTGAAACCTTTTTTGTCATCTTACAAGAAAAATATCTGTAACCTTTTTTGTCATCTTACAAGAAAAATATCTAACATTTTTTGTCATCTTACAAGAAAAATATCTGTAACATTTTTTGTCATCTTACAAGAAAAGTATCTATAAATTTTTTTGTCATCTTACAAGAAAAATATCTGTAACCTTTTTATTTTGTCATCTTACAAGAAAAATATATGTAACATTTTTTGTCATCTAACTTGAACTTAACATATGGACAATTCAAATTTCCTTCAGGTACACAATCTTGATGGCTAACCCATAGGCTAATTTAGTTGGATAATTTATATAGTTGGTCAAATGACGTAGCTAGCTCAAGTAGCCGGAGTCAGTTGAGGTCATCATTGACATGTGTTTACAACACAAAAGCCAATCACATTAGTGGTTACATCTAGCAGTAAAGAAGTGGGCCAGTCCACGGATAATGCCAAATTTAAGGATTATCTTCTGACTCAGGCAATAGAAGAAGGTGCCTATGGGTTTTCTGTCCCTCTACAAAACTCAAAGAATTTATTCAAAGAACTTGATCACAAAAGCAAGCAAGACAGAAACAATGAAACAATAATTACATGAAAGTCCATGTTTTCTGAGTGAAGATGTCTCATCATCGTCGTCTAGCTCTGTACAGAAAAATATTTCATAGCGTTTAAAAAAAAAATTATAATTACATCTATCAAGTTTTTTAAAAAAAATCTAAGCAGCGGGGGTGGGTGGGAGAGTGTAGCTCGCTAGAGTCATTTACTTAAGTGCATTAATAGATTGTATGGCCAGTAGTAAGCCATTCCGATTGTATTTGCCCAATTTCAAGCCATGTACCAATTAGAGCTGGGTGGACTAGAGTCAGGTACTGTCAGAGCTGGGTGGACTAGAGTCAGGTACTGTCAGAGCTGGGTGGACTAGTCAGGTACCATCAGAGCTGGGTGGACTAGAGTCAGGTACCCATCAGAGCTGGGTGGACTAGAGTCAGGTACCATCAGAGCTGGGTGGACTAGTCAGGTACCATCAGAGCTGGGTGGACTAGAGTCAGGTACCATCAGAGCTGGGTGGACTAGAGTCATGTTCTCATCTGAGCTGGGTGGACTAGAGTCAGGTACCCATCAGAGCTGGGTGGACTAGAGTCTGGTAACATCAGAGCTGTGTGGACTAGAGTCAGGTACCATCAGAGCTGGGTGGACTAGAGTCAGGTACCCATCAGAGCTGGGTGGACTAGTCAGGTACCATCAGAGCTGGGTGGACTAGTCAGGTACCATCAGAGCTGGGTGGACTAGAGTCAGGTACCCATCAGAGCTGGGTGGACTAGAGTCAGGTACCATCAGAGCTGGGTGGACTAGAGTCATGTTCTCATCTGAGCTGGGTGGACTAGAGTCAGGTACCCATCAGAGCTGGGTGGATTAGAGTCAGGTAACATCAGAGCTGGGTGGACTAGAGTCAGGTACCATCAGAGCTGGGTGGACTAGAGTCATGTTCTCATCTGAGCTGGGTGGACTAGAGTCAGGTACTGTCAGAGCTGGGTGGACTAGAGTCAGGTACTGTCAGAGCTGGGTGGACTAGTCAGGTACCATCAGAGCTGGGTGGACTAGAGTCAGGTACCCATCAGAGCTGGGTGGACTAGAGTCAGGTACCATCAGAGCTGGGTGGACTAGTCAGGTACCATCAGAGCTGGGTGGACTAGAGTCAGGTACCATCAGAGCTGGGTGGACTAGAGTCATGTTCTCATCTGAGCTGGGTGGACTAGAGTCAGGTACCCATCAGAGCTGGGTGGACTAGAGTCTGGTAACATCAGAGCTGTGTGGACTAGAGTCAGGTACCATCAGAGCTGGGTGGACTAGAGTCAGGTACCCATCAGAGCTGGGTGGACTAGTCAGGTACCATCAGAGCTGGGTGGACTAGTCAGGTACCATCAGAGCTGGGTGGACTAGAGTCAGGTACCCATCAGAGCTGGGTGGACTAGAGTCAGGTACCATCAGAGCTGGGTGGACTAGAGTCATGTTCTCATCTGAGCTGGGTGGACTAGAGTCAGGTACCCATCAGAGCTGGGTGGATTAGAGTCAGGTAACATCAGAGCTGGGTGGACTAGAGTCAGGTACCATCAGAGCTGGGTGGACTAGAGTCAGGTACCCATCAGAGCTGGGTGGACTAGAGTCAGGTACCATCAGAGCTGGGTGGACTAGAGTCAGGTACCATCAGAGCTGGGTGGACTAGAGTCAGGTACCATCAGAGCTGGGTGGACTAGAGTCAGGTACCATCAGAGCTGGGTGGACTAGAGTCATGTTCTCATCAGAGCTGAGTGGACTAGAGTCAGGTACCCATAGTGTTAGGGAGTCTACCAGTCGATGCTAAGGTTAATACTCATCAAGTTATATCAGCTCAACCTCTTTACCCCCGGCTTACATCTCCTCCAATCTCCGCAACTCTCCCTCACTCTCCCCCACTCTCCACCCCTCTCCCCCACTCTCCACCCCTCTCCCCCACTCTCCCCCACTCCCCACCACTCTCCGCCACTCCCCACCACTCTCCCCCACTCTCCCCCACTCTCCACCACTCTCCACCACTCCCCACCCCTCTCCCCCACTCTCCACCACTCTCCACCACTCCCCACCCCTCTCCACCACTCCCCACTACTCTCCACCACTCTCCACCACTCCCCACTACTCTCCCCCACTCTCCCCCACTCTCCGCCACTCTCCCCCACTCTCCGCCACTCTCCCCTACTCTCCCCCACTCTCCCCCACTCTCCCCCACTCTCCGCCACTCTCCCCCACTCTCCACCACTCTCCGCCACTCTCCCCTACTCTCCACCACTTCCCACCACTCTCCCCCACTCTCCCCCACTCTCCCCCACTCTCCGCCACTCTCCCCCACTCTCCACCACTCTCCGCCACTCTCCCCTACTCTCCACCACTTCCCACCACTCTCTCTTACTCTCCACTACTCTCCACCAGCAGAAGTCTCTACCTATGTACAGTGTATTCACTATCAGCTGGCTCAAGTTGAATGTGAATTTGAGCAGAGAACATGGCAACTAGTTACAGATGTGAGCATAGAATAGAACAACTAAACCTAACGCAAACAACATGCAGCCATTATATAGTGAGAGCAGTGAACACTTACCGCTGATAACGTGCAACTGTCCAGAACTAACTGCTCCCCAGTCCAGGTTCGATCTGTCTGTAGACATGGAAAATATACACATGTACATACACAACATATATATATATATATATATGGGAGTGTGTGCATTAATAAATGGATAAGTGTGCTAACATACCTCTAAAGTGCTTCTAATTATTGTTAGGGCTGATGGAATAAATTATGACGATAAGACATGTTTACAATGTTTTAGTTATCACCATATACTCCCATAGACAGGTGTATAGCACAAAGAGAATCTGACCTACTTAATTGGCCCACATAACTGACCCTCAAAACTGACCCACTCAACCGACCCAGCCAGCTGACCCAGATAGCTGCCCTACTGACCTATTTTGTCATCCAACTCAGAAGATGACGTGTCGACGAGCGGCCTTGACTGTTTCTGTTTGACCGAGTCCATGATCTTCGTCACGTCTATAGAGTGGGCACGTTTGTCCAGAACTCGCCTGGCTCGCTGGATCAGCATCTCTTTCACTGTCTTCTGTGCCGAGAACAAGTTCTGCAACACAGATTACAACACTTTATAGAACACCTAACACAGGATTTACACTTCTGACATGTATACTATACATGTCTAGAAAAAAAGTCGCAGCAAGTTAATATAAATGTTCCGCGGGAAAAAAAGTTTTTTTTTCGATACATGTATAGTATACATGTCGCAAGTGTAAAAGGGATGTAGAGTTTAAAGAACATCATCGAAGCAGGCTGGCGAACGAGTTGTTGTTACAACTGAACAAGTTGTCAGATCTAACCGCTAAAAATGTCAGCCTCTCTCTGATGTGGTCGTCTATAGGGTCGTCTGTATTTTTAAGAATGTAAAGTAGGTCATTCAGTTCCTCGAGTCGAAGTCGCCGCAAAAGTTCCTGCAACAAGAAATAAACATCGATCACACGTGGGCTTGTAGAGATTTGAAATGTCATATCCACTTTTTCTTATAGAAGAACGTCAATATCAAATACACAATCTCTGTTTAGAAAATGTTGATACCACATCAAGTTTTAAAAGTAGAGAATTTATCAAAACTTCTTTAACAGACTATGAATGATATAAATTACATTCTGTCGTGTCCAGAATGTGATTGACCTAAATTACCTCCTGTCTAGACGTGTCCAGTATAGGACTGACCTAAATTACCTCCTGTCGTCTGGTCGTGTCCAGTATGGGATTGACCTAAATTATCTCCTGTCGTCTGGTCGTGTCCAGTATGTGATTGACCTAAATTACCTCCTGTCGTCTGGTCGTGTCCAGTATGGGATTGACCTAAATTACCTCCTGTCGTCTGGTCGTGTCCAGTATGGGATTGACCTAAATTACCTCCTGTCGTCTGGTCGTGTCCAGTATGGGATTGACCTAAATTACCTCCTGTCGTCTGGTCGTGTCCAGTATAGGATTGACCTAAATTACCTCCTGTCGTGTCCAGTATGGGATTGACCTAAATTACCTCCTGTCGTCTGGTCGTGTCCAGTATGGGATTGACCTAAATTACCTCCTGTCGTCTGGTCGTGTCCAGTATAGGATTGACCTAAATTACCTCCTGTCGTCTGGTCGTGTCCAGTATGGGATTGACCTAAATTACCTCCTGTCGTCTGGTCGTGTCCAGTATGGGATTGACCTAAATTACCTCCTGTCGTCTGGTCGTGTCCAGTATGGGATTGACCTAAATTACCTCCTGTCGTCTGGTCGTGTCCAGTATGGGATTGACCTAAATTACCTCCTGTCGTCTGGTCGTGTCCAGTATGGGATTGACCTAAATTACCTCCTGTCGTCTGGTCGTGTCCAGTATGGGATTGACCTAAATTACCTCCTGTCGTGTCCAGTATGGGATTGACCTAAATTACCTCCTGTCGTCTGGTCGTGTCCAGTATGGGATTGACCTAAATTACCTCCTGTCGTCTGGTCGTGTCCAGTATAGGATTGACCTAAATTACCTCCTGTCGTGTCCAGTATGGGATTGACCTAAATTACCTCCAGTCGTCTGGTCGTGTCCAGTATGTGATTGACCTAAATTACCTCCTGTCGTCTGGTCGTGTCCAGTATGGGATTGACCTAAATTACCTCCTGTCGTCTGGTCGTGTCCAGTATGGGATTGACCTAAATTACCTCCTGTCGTCTGGTCGTGTCCAGTATGGGATTGACCTAAATTACCTCCTGTCGTCTGGTCGTGTCCAGTATGGGATTGACCTAAATTACCTCCAGTCGTGTCCAGTATGGGATTGACCTAAATTACCTCCTGTCGTCTGGTCGTGTCCAGTATGGGATTGACCTAAATTACCTCCTGTCGTCTGGTCGTGTCCAGTATGGGATTGACCTAAATTACCTCCTGTCGTCTGGTCGTGTCCAGTATTGGATTGACCTAAATTACCTCCAGACGTGTCCAGTATGGGATTGACCTAAATTACCTCCTGTCGTCTGGTCGTGTCCAGTATGGGATTGACCTAAATTACCTCCTGTCGTCTGGTCGTGTCCAGTATGGGATTGACCTAAATTACCTCCAGTCGTGTCCAGTATGGGATTGACCTAAATTACCTCCTGTCTAGACGTGTCCAGTATTAAATTGACCTAAATTACCTCCTGTCGTGTCCAGTATGGGATTGACCTAAATTACCTCCTGTCGTCTGGTCGTGTCCAGTATGGGATTGACCTAAATTACCTCCTGTCGTCTGGTCGTGTCCAGTATGGGATTGACCTAAATTACCTCCTGTCGTCTGGTCGTGTCCAGTATGGGATTGACCTAAATTACCTCCTGTCGTCTGGTCGTGTCCAGTATGGGATTGACCTAAATTACCTCCTGTCGTCTGGTCGTGTCCAGTATGGGATTGACCTAAATTACCTCCTGTCGTCTGGTCGTGTCCAGTATTTGATTGACCTAAATTACCTCCTGTCGTCTGGTCGTGTCCAGTATGGGATTGACCTAAATTACCTCCTGTCGTCTGGTCGTGTCCAGTATGGGATTGACCTAAATTACCTCCTGTCGTCTGGTCGTGTCCAGTATGGGATTGACCTAAATTACCTCCTGTCGTCTGGTCGTGTCCAGTATGGGATTGACCTAAATTACCTCCTGTCGTCTGGTCGTGTCCAGTATAGGACTGACCTAAATTACCTCCTGTCGTCTGGTCGTGTCCAGTATGTGATTGACCTAAATTACCTCCTGTCGTCTGGTCGTGTCCAGTATGGGATTGACCTAAATTACCTCCTGTCTAGACGTGTCCAGTATTGGATTGACCTAAATTACCTCCTGTCGTCTGGTCGTGTCCAGTATGGGATTGACCTAAATTACCTCCTGTCGTCTGGTCGTGTCCAGTATGGGATTGACCTAAATTACCTCCTGTCGTCTGGTCGTGTCCAGTATGGGATTGACCTAAATTACCTCCTGTCGTCTGGTCGTGTCCAGTATGGGATTGACCTAAATTACCTCCTGTCGTCTGGTCGTGTCCAGTATGGGATTGACCTAAATTACCTCCTGTCGTCTGGTCGTGTCCAGTATGGGATTGACCTAAATTACCTCCTGTCGTCTGGTCGTGTCCAGTATAGGATTGACCTAAATTACCTCCAGACGTGTCCAGTATTGGATTGACCTAAATTACCTCCTGTCGTCTAGTCGTGTCCAGTATGGGATTGACCTAAATTACCTCCTGTCGTCTGGTCGTGTCCAGTATGGGATTGACCTAAATTACCTCCTGTCGTCTGGTCGTGTCCAGTATGGGATTGACCTAAATTACCTCCTGTCGTCTGGTCGTGTCCAGTATGGGATTGACCTAAATTACCTCCTGTCGTCTGGTCGTGTCCAGTATGGGATTGACCTAAATTACCTCCTGTCGTCTGGTCGTGTCCAGTATGGGATTGACCTAAATTACCTCCTGTCGTCTGGTCGTGTCCAGTATGGGATTGACCTAAATTACCTCCTGTCGTCTGGTCGTGTCCAGTATGGGATTGACCTAAATTACCTCCTGTCGTCTGGTCGTGTCCAGTATGGGATTGACCTAAATTACCTCCTGTCGTCTGGTCGTGTCCAGTATGGGATTGACCTAAATTACCTCCTGTCGTCTGGTCGTGTCCAGTATGGGATTGACCTAAATTACCTCCTGTCGTCTGGTCGTGTCCAGTATGGGATTGACCTAAATTACCTCCTGTCGTCTGGTCGTGTCCAGTATGGGATTGACCTAAATTACCTCCTGTCGTCTGGTCGTGTCCAGTATGGGATTGACCTAAATTACCTCCTGTCGTCTGGTCGTGTCCAGTATGGGATTGACCTAAATTACCTCCTGTCGTCTAGTCGTGTCCAGTATGGGATTGACCTAAATTACCTCCAGTCGTCTGGTCGTGTCCAGTATGGGATTGACCTAAATTACCTCCTGTCGTCTGGTCGTGTCCAGTATAGGATTGACCTAAATTACCTCCTGTCGTGTCCAGTATGGGATTGACCTAAATTACCTCCTGTCGTCTGGTCGTGTCCAGTATGGGATTGACCTAAATTACCTCCTGTCGTCTGGTCGTGTCCAGTATGGGATTGACCTAAATTACCTCCAGTCGTGTCCAGTATGGGATTGACCTAAATTACCTCCTGTCGTCTGGTCGTGTCCAGTATGTGATTGACCTAAATTACCTCCAGTCGTCTGGTCGTGTCCAGTATGGGATTGACCTAAATTACCTCCTGTCGTCTGGTCGTGTCCAGTATTGGATTGACCTAAATTACCTCCAGTCGTGTCCAGTATGGGATTGACCTAAATTACCTCCTGTCGTCTGGTCGTGTCCAGTATGGGATTGACCTAAATTACCTCCTGTCGTCTGGTCGCGTCCAGTATGGGATTGACCTAAATTACCTCCTGTCGTCTGGTCGCGTCCAGTATGGGATTGACCTAAATTACCTCCTGTCGTCTGGTCGTGTCCAGTATTGGATTGACCTAAATTACCTCCAGTCGTGTCCAGTATGGGATTGACCTAAATTACCTCCTGTCGTCTGGTCGTGTCCAGTATGGGATTGACCTAAATTACCTCCTGTCGTCTGGTCGCGTCCAGTATGGGATTGACCTAAATTACCTCCTGTCGTCTGGTCGTGTCCAGTATGGGATTGACCTAAATTACCTCCAGTCTTGTCCAGTATGGGATTGACCTAAATTACCTCCTGTCGTCTGGTCGTGTCCAGTATGGGATTGACCTAAATTACCTCCAGTCGTGTCCAGTATGGGATTGACCTAAATTACCTCCTGTCGTCTGGTCGTGTCCAGTATGGGATTGACCTAAATTACCTCCTGTCGTCTGGTCGTGTCCAGTATAGGATTGACCTAAATTACCTCCTGTCGTCTGGTCGTGTCCAGTATGTGATTGACCTAAATTACCTCCTGTCGTCTGGTCGTGTCCAGTATGGGATTGACCTAAATTACCTCCTGTCGTCTGGTCGTGTCCAGTATGGGATTGACCTAAATTACCTCCAGTCGTGTCCAGTATGGGATTGACCTAAATTACCTCCTGTCGTCTGGTCGTGTCCAGTATGGGATTGACCTAAATTACCTCCTGTCGTCTGGTCGTGTCCAGTATGGGATTGACCTAAATTACCTCCTGTCGTCTGGTCGTGTCCAGTATGGGATTGACCTAAATTACCTCCAGTCGTGTCCAGTATGGGATTGACCTAAATTACCTCCTGTCGTCTGGTCGTGTCCAGTATGGGATTGACCTAAATTACCTCCAGTCGTGTCCAGTATGGGATTGACCTAAATTACCTCCTGTCGTCTGGTCGTGTCCAGTATGGGATTGACCTAAATTACCTCCTGTCGTCTGGTCGTGTCCAGTATGGGATTGACCTAAATTACCTCCTGTCGTCTGGTCGTGTCCAGTATGGGATTGACCTAAATTACCTCCTGTCGTCTGGTCGTGTCCAGTATGGGATTGACCTAAATTACCTCCTGTCGTCTAGTCGTGTCCAGTATGGGATTGACCTAAATTACCTCCTGTCGTCTGGTCGTGTCCAGTATGGGATTGACCTAAATTACCTCCTGTCGTCTGGTCGTGTCCAGTATGGGATTGACCTAAATTACCTCCTGTCGTCTGGTCGTGTCCAGTATGGGATTGACCTAAATTACCTCCTGTCGTCTGGTCGTGTCCAGTATGGGATTGACCTAAATTACCTCCTGTCGTCTGGTCGTGTCCAGTATTTGATTGACCTAAATTACCTCCTGTCGTCTGGTCGTGTCCAGTATGGGATTGACCTAAATTACCTCCTGTCGTCTGGTCGTGTCCAGTATGGGATTGACCTAAATTACCTCCTGTCGTCTGGTCGTGTCCAGTATTTGATTGACCTAAATTACCTCCTGTCGTCTGGTCGTGTCCAGTATGGGATTGACCTAAATTACCTCCTGTCGTCTGGTCGTGTCCAGTATGGGATTGACCTAAATTACCTCCTGTCGTCTGGTCGTGTCCAGTATGGGATTGACCTAAATTACCTCCTGTCGTCTGGTCGTGTCCAGTATGTGATTGACCTAAATTACCTCCTGTCGTCTGGTCGTGTCCAGTATGGGATTGACCTAAATTACCTCCTGTCGTCTGGTCGTGTCCAGTATGGGATTGACCTAAATTACCTCCTGTCGTCTGGTCGTGTCCAGTATGGGATTGACCTAAATTACCTCCTGTCGTCTGGTCGTGTCCAGTATGGGATTGACCTAAATTACCTCCTGTCGTCTGGTCGTGTCCAGTATGGGATTGACTTTGAGCACGAGTGACCTCCGCCTGGCCATGACCTGCTTGTTGCTCCTCTCTAGCTCCTGCAGGTACTGGATCTTCTCCTGTTGGTACATGTTGCCGTCAACACACCTGCAGACAGTCGGCACAGGTTGGGGTACAGCCAGGTACAGGTCACTGGTCAGCCAGGTACAAGTCACTGGTCAGCCAGGTACAAGTCACTGGTCAGCCAGGTACAAGTCACTGGTCAGTCAGGTACAAGTCACTGGTCAGCCAGGTACAACAAGTCACTGGTCAGCCAGGTACAAGTCACTGGTCAGCCACGTACAAGTCACTGGTCAGCCAGGTACAAGTCACTGGTCAGCGAGGTACAAGTCACTGGTCAGCGAGGTACAAGTCACTGGTCAGCCAGGTACAAGTCACTGGTCAGCCAGGTACAAGTCACTGGTCAGCCAGGTACAAGTCACTGGTCAGCCAGGTACAAGTCACTGGTCAGCCACGTACAACAAGTCACATGACAGCCAGATGTTAGCCGTCAAACAACCCGTGACTTTAAACTATCTGCCATCTGTAGTTGTTCCCTACGTTTTTACCTTTTCTTGTCAGTTACGATCTGTACAAAATTGTTCTAGCTTAGAGTCTTCTATTTGTTGTTCATGTGTTGATCAAAGGTCTACGTCACATATGTGATCAGCTCTAAGCCGTTGCTCACAACAAGATTAACAGTATCGATCTCTCATTACAAGAGTTCACTTACAAAGTTAAATAGCTGTTTTTGTATTTTTAAAGGCTGAACTTTTTGTACTTTTGAAACGCCAGTTACACATTTTAATTTTCTGTTATAAGGACGTCACAATAAATGCCTGTGGACGCCATAAATAAACGTCTGTGGACGCCATAAATAAACGTCTGTGGACGTGATAAACATCTGTGGACGCCATAAATAAACGTCTGTGGACGCCATAAATAAACGTCTGTGGACCCCATAAATAAACGTCTGTGGGCGCCATAAATAAACGTCTGTGGACGCCATAAATAAACGTCTGTGGACGCCATAAATAAACGTCTGTGGGCGCCATAAATAAACGTCTGTGGGCGTGATAAATAAATGTCTGTGGACGCGATAAATAAACAGGACAACTGTGGTACCTGTAAAGACATTGAGCGATGCAGTCGATCGGGTCCGTAGGTCGCACTTCAGTGACATAGCGCAGGCACTGGGGCAGGTACTGTCCAACTGTCTTCTTCAGGAAATGGTTGTAGTGGAAGTCGTCGGATAAGTACTGGAATGAGGGGGGGGGGGGGGGGGGGGGGGAAGATGAGGAATTCCTTTAAGGACGTTTTCTTTTCTTTATAATAACACACCAGACACTCAACTGGCCTTTATAATAACACACCAGACACTCAACTGGCCTTTATAATAGGCTGAAGTAAATATTTACCACACCGTGTCAATGCCGTGTCAATAATAGCTGGGCCAATCCCGAAATTATACTTAACCACAGCTTCGGCAATGTTATAACAGACAGGAATATCATATGCTAGTGTTTCATATGTCACATACACATCATATGCTACTGTTTCATATGTCACATACACATCATATGCTACTGTTTCATATGTGATATACACATCATAGGCTACTGTTTCATATGTCACATACACATCATATGCTACTGTTTCATATGTCACATACACATCATATGCTACTGTTTCATATGTGATATACACATCATAGGCTACTGTTTCATATGTGATATACACATCATATGCTACTGTTTCATATGTGATATACACATCATAGGCTACTGTTTCATATGTGATATACACATCATAGGCTACTGTTTCATATGTGATATACACATCATAGGCTACTGTTTCATATGTGATATACACATCATATGCTACTGTTTCATATGTGATATACACATCATATGCTACTGTTTCATATGTGATATACACATCATAGGCTACTGTTTCATATGTGATATACACATCATAGGCTACTGTTTCATATGTGATATACACATCATAGGCTACTGTTTCATATGTGATATACACATCATAGGCTACTGTTTCATATGTGATATACACATCATAGGCTACTGTTTCATATGTGACATACACATCATATGCTACTGTTTCATATGTGATATACACATCATAGGCTACTGTTTCATATGTGATATACACATCATATGCTACTGTTTCATATGTGATATACACATCATAGGCTACTGTTTCATATGTGATATACACATCATAGGCTACTGTTTCATATGTGATATACACATCATAGGCTACTGTTTCATATGTGATATACACATCATAGGCTACTGTTTCATATGTGATATACACATCATATGCTACTGTTTCATATGTGATATACACATCATAGGCTACTTCTTGTGGGGAAGGCCGTCGGCCACACACATTTTGTGGGGGAGAGTGACCCGTCGGCCACACACTTCTTGTGGGGGAGAGTGACCCGTCGGCCACACACTTCTTGTGGGGGAGAGTGACCCGTCGGCCACACACTTCTTGTCGTGCATATTCCCACGATAAAGGACACACATGTGTCATAACTCTCACTCCAACTACGTTAATTGTAAATTTTGAAAGCAAATTCTATGATATCTTTGACAAAATAAACTCTATTTACTCATTTTAATTGTTATCGCCATTTGTGAATAGATCTTTTATTTGTTATTGTTTCACTGTTTCGGGTTTTAGCCTGTCTGTATGTAGGACTAGACCTTTAGCCGTGATTGTTAGTGTCCTATTATTTTGACGACCGGTCATGTGACTTACTTTGAGAGCGGGAAGTTTGGAGAGACTGTTCGGGTTGGTCTCCATTGGCTCCTATTTGTTTTGGTTCAGTCTTCTACTTCGTTATGGCCACCCTATCCTCCTACTTATGACGTCTACACCGTAGCGCACCACAACACTGAAGCGCACCACTGCACCGTAGCGCACCACTGAACCGAAGCGCACCACAACACTGAAGCGCACCACTACAGCTAAGCGCATCACTTCACGGGGAAAACTACTCTAGAACATTTTTGCTGCGCTCTAGGTTTAGCTATAATACACACATAGTCTAAATCACACATTCAGTTGTGTCAGTGATATGTCAGTGATGTCTCAGTAATGTGTCAGTGATGTGTCAGTGATGTGTCAGTAATGTCTCAGTGATGTGTCAGTGTTGTGCTAGTGTTCTCTGTGTTGCGTCATTGATGTGTAAGTATAGTGTCAGTGATATGTCAATGTTGTGTCAATTGTGTGTCTGTGTTATGTCTGTGTTGTGTCAAGGTTGTGTCAATGATGTGTTAGAACATTTTATTTTTATGACAACGATTCTTAAAATATTAAATTTCTAAAAAAAATCCTGATTGGAGTGTTTTTTATTGCCACCACGAAGACAAAATTGACAAAAAAATATTTCTATCCATGCCAAAAAAAATCATTTTCTAGGGCGAGTCATACATTGATAAAATTGGCGGTGTTATTATGACAGTGTTACCCTTTTGTTGTGTCACATTAGTGTCATGTCGAATATGTCATGTCACGTTAGTCTCATGGTACAGTGGTGTCATGTCATATTGATGTCATATATCAAGTGTATCATTGTCAAACCAGTCTCATTTGAAGTTTATTAATCTGCAAAAATATCAAATTGTATCCATTTATTTTCTCAGAAATCATATAAATTATAGTAGTAACAGAGTATACAAGGATTTAATTAAGAGGTAATTAGTTAATGTCACTACTGTCATTATAGACAAGCGACCAGACGACCGTATTGGGTACAGCAACAAATATAACAATACAGGCAAACAGCAACATTTTTTAAATCTTACAGCAACAAATATAACGATACAGGCAACAGCAACATTTTAAAAATCTTACAGCAACAAATATAACTATACAGGCAACAGCAACATTTTAAAAATCTTACAGCAACAAATATAACAATACAGGCAACAGCAACATTTTTTAAATCTTACAGCAACAAATATAACAATACAGGCAACAGCAACATTTTAAAATCTAACAGCAACAAATATAACGATACAGGCAACAACAACATTTTAAAAATCTTACAGCAACAAATAAAACAATACAGGCAACAGCAACATTTTTAAATCTTACAGGAACAAATATAACAATACAGGCAACAGCAACATTTTTTAAATCTTACAGCAACAAATATAACAATACAGGCAACAGCAACATTTTTTAAATCTTACAGCAACAAATATAACAATACAGGCAACAGCAACATTTTTAAAATCTTACAGCAACAAATATAACAATACAGGCAACAGCAACATTTTAAAAATCTTACAGCAACAAATATAACAATACAGGCAACAGCAACATTTTTTAAATCTTACAGCAACAAATATAACAATACAGGCAACAACAACATTTTAAAAATCTTACAGCAACAAATATAACAATACAGGCAACAGCAACATTTTTTAAATCTTACAGCAACAAATATAACAATACAGGCAACAGCAACATTTTAAAATCTTACAGCAACAAATATAACAATACAGGCAACAGCAACATTTTTAAAATCTTACAGCAACAAATATAACAATACAGGCAACAGCAACATTTTTTAAATCTTACAGCAACAAATATAACAATACAGGCAACAGCAACATTTTAAAATCTTACAGCAACAAATATAACAATACAGGCAACAGCAACATTTTTAAAATCTTACAGCAACAAATAAAACGATACAGGCAACAGCAACATTTTAAAAATCTTACAGCAACAAATATAACAATACAGGCAACAGCAACATTTTTTAAATCTTACAGCAACAAATATAACAATACAGGCAACAGCAACATTTTAAAATCTTACAGCAACAAATAAAACAATACAGGCAACAGCAACATTTTTAAATCTTACAGGAACAAATATAACAATACAGGCAACAGCAACATTTTAAAATCTTACAGCAACAAATATAACAATACAGGCAACAACAACATTTTAAAATCTTACAGCAACAAATATAACAATACAGGCAACAGCAACATTTTAAAAATCTAACAGCAACAAATATAACAATACAGGCAACAGCAACATTTTAAAAATCTTACAGCAACAAATATAACAATACATGCAACAGCAACATTTTTAAAATCTTACAGCAACAAATATAACAATACAGGCAACAGCAACATTTTAAAAATCTTGGCAGTAAGTATTCTAACATCAGACAACTAAATCTTTTATCGTTTGGTGTCTTTTTCTGTAGGTGCTGGAAGATTTACAGGAAGTCTTTTTTAAAGTCTACACAGTACAATACATGTTCCCTGTAAAATACATATTCCTGTAAAATACATGTTCCCTGTACAATACATGTTCCTGTATAATACATGTTCCCTGTACAATACATGGTCACTGTAAAATACATGGTCACTGAAAAATACATGGTTCCTGTATAATACATGTTCCCTGTACAATACATGTTCCCTGTACAATACATGTTCCCTGTAAAATACATGGTCGCTGTAAAATACATGTTCCCTGTACAATACATGTTCCCTGTCAAATACATGTTCTCTGTAAAATACATGGTCCCTGTTCAATACACGGTCCCTGTAAAATGCAAGCTCGTTGTAAAATGTAAAACACTTAGAACATAAAATTGTATGTTGTTGTTTTTTTCTTCAGTATGAGAACATATTTGAGTTGAGTGTCAGTATGAGAACATATTTGAGTTGAGTGTCAGTATGAGAACATATTTGAGTTGAGTGTCAGTATGAGAACATATTTGAGTTGAGTGTCAGTATGAAAACATATTTGAGTGTCTGGTCCATCTAATCTGCCAACATGCCAGAGTCCTGAAGCTGAAACTCCGGATACATCAGATGACACCTGGCATACGTGAGTACTGGCTTGGTGCTGGCATTCTTGCACGTCAGGTCTATATGGTACTCACCTGCTCGTCATCAAGGGTCAGCGCTTTGTTTACGTGACCCTTGTTGACATGACCCGCGACCACGCCCATTTCCTCATCCTCACTGATATAGTAACGTTTATGGGATGGTATTTCCGGTTCGTCGTCTGAGCCCTCCTCCTCCATGGAGGAGTCAGACGAGAGTGAGGAAGATGAGGAGAGGATGTGTGAGAAGATGTTGAGGTGCTTGTTCTTGGCCTGCCCGCTGTCCGAGTCTGAGGAGGACGAGCTGTCCGTGTCCCCGTCCACCACGATGTCCGGCACGTCTGTGGAGAACCTTCTAGCGTCCTCTGGTCGGGCCAACACCTCGTACTCCCCGCCCCCGTCACTCTCAAACCCGGCAATCACCTGCAGATGTTCGTGGTCAGGCTCTGACTCCTGCTCCAGTGGTCGGTTGTTTGATGATTCCTGCGTCGTAGCACGGTTGTTTGACGACGCCTGCGTCATAGCTCGGCTGTTCGCTGACTCCTCCTCGGGTATGGGGCTGGGCTGGGGCCGCAGCACGTGGTGAGGGGGCGGCAGGGTGGAGGGCGCCAGAGACCCAGGTTTACAATCAGCGCCCGCTTCCTGCGTCGTGTTGTAGCGGTTTTTTAAAATGGGCAAAGATGGCGGCGACCGGAGGGCGGGGAGATCTGATTGGTTGAAGGAGTTACTTCTGCTCTTTGCCTTCTTTCTTATGATAGCAGGGGAGGCCTGAGGAGACAGTGGACAACAGGATGGTCTCAGTGGGGCAAATATTTACTTCAGTTTTTTTTTTAAATGTGTCAGAAAATGTAAAAAAAAAGTAATTAAAATAAATGTGTCATGAATATATTGCACAGTATTGCATCTTTTTGTGAATACATTATTTGCTCATACCTTTCTGGCATGGTTCTTAGTCCTCTTCTGCTTTGGTAGGTTTTAAAAAGGTTTGTAGGTTTATCTGTTTTACGTTTATAATCTTTAAGACTGTAGGTTTTACGTCTGTATGTTATTAAGCCCGTAAGTTGTATGTAAGTAAACTTTCCTTTACAAACCTGACGGTCAAATAGGCAGATGAAGTAGAGTTCACCAGTGACCTCGGCATATGAAGGGATAGTGTGGTAAGCTTTGTGCCTAGCCGCCTTTACTTTTCCTATCGTGAGTTAGGTACCCGTTAGAGCTGGGTGGGCTCAGTAACATGTTGTATGTATTATAAAGATTGCCTATTCTATAAGATGTGTATCCACCAAGAAAAACATTTCAGCCTCACTTTCCCCTCTAGACTCCAGACACTCGACTTGAGTCTGCTGGGAATGTCTGCCTCTGACTTGAGTCTGCCGTTGATGTCTGCCTCTGCCAGAGAACTAGTCCGGTGTATCCGGTGTCGGAGGCCCATGCCGGCCGTCTCGTCCAGGCGCCGCAGCAGGGCCGGAGAGCCTTCAGCTTTAGCCAGCATGGACATGCGCCGTGAGAACCTTCTCATGGCGGGATCTGATTGGACGTTGGGCGTGATGATGATGCTGTCACGTGCTAGCATGCCCATCGTGCGCAGGAAAGATCGGCGTTCGCGTCTCAGGTCACTAGGAAACAAAAGTAGATCAAGTAGATGGGTTGTTAATAGTTTCAAGGATTGGGTGGGTGACGTTTTGGTCGATAGGTGAGTCACGTGGGTGTTCGGTGATGACTCATACATACTCAGACACACACAAGGCACACAAAGACATACACAAGGCGTACTTACACACACACACACGGGCACATGTTCACACATACATACGAACACACACATACACACTGACCGTTTTGGAGCAATTCTAAGGAACAGTTGAAGCCATATCACAAGCTGATCTGTCGAACAAAAAGAAATCTTTACTTCCTTGTAGGGCATATAATCTAGTAATCTCTAGAGACTAGACATACAAAATAATATACAGGCCGTGTTCATGTTTAGTCAGTGTCTAGTGACACCTTAGTTTGATAATATGGGATGGCGTGGTCGAATAGTAGAGCGTTTGTCTTCAGTCCCTAAGGTCTCGAGTTCAGATCCCAGTTCGGACTTGTGACTGTATGACGTCTCTGCGTCCACCCAGCTTTGATGAGTACCCAACCTACGTTGGGTAAAGTAAAGGCAGCTATGCATTTTGCTGATCACACTATCCTTACGCCGAGGTCAAGAAACATGAACTCTACTTCATCTACATTTGGATCATGAGGTCAAAAGAAGAACTAGAAGTTTTTCTTTGATAAGCTTGAACGGTAAAAGCAGACTTTTAGAAGAGTTAGAAGAGCCTATGAACTTATTAACTTAGTAAGAGAATCGATAAATTTTAGGACTATAGTGACACCTACTTAATGATTAAATGATAACTTAGTTCTTTATAAAGAAAATTCCGAGACTAGCTCATTAAAAAGACAAATGTTTACACTATGTAGAAAAATGCAAAAGAAAAATGTTTTCTTTGTCATATTTTCAAAAAAAACCTCTAATTTACCTGGTATATTAATGACTTTCTTGGACTTGAGCCAGTTAATTGGGTAATAGCTAATTATGGAGGTGCCGATAAGAACGAGGGCTGCAATAAATTCTCTCTTGGGGTACTGTAGGAACGGTGCCAAGAGCAGATAACCGATGCCAAGTACGACAACCACAGGAACCCACAGGTCGACCTGTGACGACATCAATCACGTGACAGGTCAAAGAAAACATGAGCCAGCAGTTCCAATGACTTACCAAAGTTCTCCTCAAACATTAAATTGGCTTGAGTGGGGTGGAATATCTTTGGGGAACTCTACAAAGTACTGAGCACCTAAGGTTTGACCACCAACCTAATAAGGACTGACCACCAACCTTATAAGGACTGACCACCTAAGATTTGACCACCAACCTTATAAGAACTGAGCACCAACCTTATAAGGACGTTTCTTGTTCTTGTTCTTGACCCTGAGAATGAGCAGCGCGAGGATCGATGAACCGTGAAACAACCAGACCGTGAAGATGTAGAACCTGAGCAGTTCCTGTCCGTCTGCTACACACATGACCACAATGGCGATCACACACTGGCGACACACACATGCAAGTGTAAGGAATAGACGGGTGGAGGGGAGATCATTATAAGACAGCTTAATACAAAGTAGCGGTTTTCTTACATTATTCGTCTGATTTCAAACTAGTTACTGTTTTATAATGAGATCATTATTTACTAAATGTTTTAAATAAAATTAAATAAACCAAAGGTGAGCGCTATAACAACGGGTTACCTACCCTAAGCGCTACTGTAATGATGGGAGTTACCTACCCTTAGTGCCACTGTAATGATGGGAGTTACCTACCCTTAGTGCTACTGTAATGATGGGAGTTACCTACCCTTAGTGCTACTGTAATGATGAGAGTTACCTACCCTTAGTGCCACTGTAATGATGGGAGTTACCTACCCTTAGTGCTACTGTAATGATGGGAGTTACCTACCCTTAGTGCTACTGTAATGATGGGAGTTACCTACCCTTAGTGCCACTGTAATGATGGGAGTTACCTACCCTTAGTGCTACTGTAATGATGGGAGTTACCTACCCTTAGTGCTACTGTAATGATGGGAGTTACCTACCCTGAGTGCTACTGTAATGATGGGAGTTACCTACCCTGAGTGCTACTGTAATGATGAGAGTTACCTACCCTTAGTGCTACTGTAATGATGAGAGTTACCTACCCTTAGTGCTACTGTAATGATGAGAGTTACCTACGCTTAGTGCTACTGTAATGATGAGAGTTACCTACCCTTAGTGCTACTGTAATGATGGGAGTTACCTACCCTGAGTGCCACTGTAATGATGGGAGTTACCTACCCTGAGTGCTACTGTAATGATGGGAGTTACCTACCCTTAGTGCTACTGTAATGATGGGAGTTACCTACCCTTAGTGCTACTGTAATGATGGGAGTTACCTACCCTTAGTGCTACTGTAATGATGGGAGTTACCTACCCTTAGTGCTACTGTAATGATGGGAGTTACCTACCCTAAGTGCTACTGTAATGATGGGAGTTACCTACCCTGAGTGCTACTGTAATGATGGGAGTTACCTACCCTTAGTGCTACTGTAATGATGAGAGTTACCTACCCTGAGTGCTACTGTAATGATGGGAGTTACCTACCCTTAGTGCTACTGTAATGATGGGAGTTACCTACCCTTAGTGCTACTGTAATGATGGGAGTTACCTACCCTTAGTGCTACTGTAATGATGGGAGTTACCTACCCTTAGTGCTACTGTAATGATGGGAGTTACCTACCCTTAGTGCTACTGTAATGATGGGAGTTACCTACCCTAAGTGCTACTGTAATGATGGGAGTTACCTACCCTGAGTGCTACTGTAATGATGGGAGTTACCTACCCTTAGTGCTACTGTAATGATGAGAGTTACCTACCCTTAGTGCTACTGTAATGATGGGAGTTACCTACCCTTAGTGCTACTGTAATGATGGGAGTTACCTACCCTAAGTGCTACTGTAATGATGGGAGTTACCTACCCTGAGTGCTACTGTAATGATGGGAGTTACCTACCCTTAGTGCTACTGTAATGATGAGAGTTACCTACCCTTAGTGCTACTGTAATGATGGGAGTTACCTACCCTTAGTGCTACTGTAATGATGGGAGTTTTACTTCTGACATGTACCCAGGAAACGACGTCTGGAATTTGTCCGTTTTTGGCGGCCACACCAGACAGCCTGGAGATTATGTAGGTCAACTGTAACACCTCGTCGTTTAGATTATCGTCCTACGATTATGTCATAAGCCTCATACGTCACGTATATATTTTGTAAATGTTAAATGTAGATCTTATTTCGACCACCATAAGTATACTCTGTGTGTCTGTGTGTGTCTGTGTGTGTCCGTGTGTGTGTGTGTCTCTCTGTGTGTCTGTGTGTGTAAGTGTGTGAGTGCGTGTGACAGCGTGTCTGTGTATGTGTGTCTGTGTGTGTCTGTGTGTGTGTCTGTGTCTGTGTGTGTGTCTGTGTGTGTCTGTGTGTATATGTGTGTCTCTGTGTGTGTGTGTGTCTGTGTATGTCTGTGAGTGTATCTGTATGTGTGTGTGTGTACACGTGTGTGTGGCCTGACCTGCCAGAGGAGTGTGTGTGTCTGTGTGTATCTGTATGTGTGTGTGTCTGTACATGTGTGTGTGGCCTGACCTGTCATAGGAGTGTGTGTCTGTGTGTGTATCTGTATGTGTGTGTGTGTATGTGTGTGGCCTGACCTGCCAGACGAGAGAAAGGTGGCGTTGACACTCCCCAGGGCTATGAGCCCCACACTGATGGAGATGATGGAACTGGCCGGACCCAGGGCGTCCTCGGCCCAGCGCTAGAACAGTCAGATATGAGGGGAGGTTTTAAACACGGGGAGGTTTTAAACACAGGGAGGTTTTTAAACACAGGGAGGTTTTAAACACAGGGAGGTTTAAAACACAGGAAGATTTTTAAACACCGGGAGGTTTTAAACACAGGAAGATTTTAAACACAGGAAGGTTTTAAAACACAGGGAGGTTTTAAACATAGGAAGGTTTTTAAACACGGGAAGATTTTAAACACAGGAAGGTTTTTAAACACAGGAAGATTTTAAACACAGGAAGGTTTTAAACACAGGAAGATTTTAAACACAGGGAGTTTTAAAACACAGGAAGGTTTTGAACAATCAGACATGATAGAAGATTTTAAACACAGGAAGGTTTTAAAATAGTAAAATTTTAAACATAAGAAGATTTAAAACACGGGAAGATTTCAAACACAGAAAGAATTTAAAAAGAGGAAAAATTTTAAAAAGTCAGTTGCACTGATTACCGTAGATTTTAAGAGACACAAAGGAAGAGATGAAAGATCATAGGACTTTAATAACAAGCTTTAAATTGTGCTAAAAACAAGATCGACGACATTATTCTTGGGTAGAGAGATGGTTAATAATTCTATTATATTGGATTATGTGAAGTAAGTGTGTGGATCACTTTATTCTTATTTTTGCTAATTCATGTCATTAAGGATGGTTTGATGAATCACACGTGTACTGACCACACCGAGAGCGACACACACACACACACACGTGTACTGACCACACAGAGAGCGACACACATACACATACGTGTACTGACCACACCGATGCCACGTGCATGCAGGAACTGATCACGTGTCATGACTGTGAAGAACGACAGCACCGTCAAGAGGTAGAGCACCAGCACCAGCGGGATGATGGTCTTCACGATACGGGGGACGTTTCTGTAATACGTCATGGTACTGGTCTTACACGGGTGGCGTACAGGTGTTACACAGGTGGCGTACAGGTGTTACACAGGTGGCGTACAGGTGTTACACAGGTGGCGTACAGATGTTACACAGGTGGCGTACAGGTGTTAGGTTGGTGTCATATGTGTGACATGTAGGTGGCACATTGATGTCATACAGGTGTCATAGGTGTGTCATGTAGGTGGCACATTGATGTCATACAGGTGTCATAGGTGTGTCATGTAGGTGGCACATTGATGCCATACAGGTGTCATACAGGTGTGTTGGTTGGATTAAAGCCTTATTTAGATCTAGTTATCTTTATGATTGCACATAAGACTCAATTGACTGAGCAGTATCAATTATAAAATGACATTTTCATCTACAGAGCATGTTTTTTCTTATAGGAATATTTGTGTTTGGTGTTGTTTGCACACGACACCTATTATCCTCTTTAACCTATGAGTGCACGTGTGAGTGTTTGTGTGTGTATGTGTATGAGAGCGTCTTTGTTACAGATGTCAAACCCCGGTATGAAATGTCCAAATGTCAAACCCAGGTATGAAATGTCCAGATGTCAAACCCAGATGTCAAACCCAGGTATGAAATGTACAGATGTCAAAGCCAGGTATGAAATGTCCAGATGTCAAACCCAGATGTCAAACCCAGGTATGAAATGTACAGATGTCAAAGCCAGGTATGAAATGTCCAGATGTCAAACCCAGATGTCAAACCCAGGTATGAAATGTACAGATGTCAAAGCCAGGTATGAAATGTCCAGATGTCAAACCCAGATGTCAAACCCAGGTATGAAATGTACAGATGTCAAAGCCAGGTATGAAATGTCCAGATGTCAAATCCAGGTATGAAATGTCCAGATGTCAAACCCAGATGTCAAACCCAGGTATGAAATGTCTAATTGGCTGGTACAGCTCAGCTTACCGTGGAGGTTTTTTAATGCCACTTGTCACGTGGTTGACATTTGACCTGCATGAAAAACAAACAAAATGAATGCCGGGCAATTTTCGATAACGAGAATTTTTTTTAAATTCTTTAAAAAGGTTTAACTTATCGGGCTGATAAAAATAAACGATTTGACCTTACAGTCCCCACAGGTCAACATGGAGGTTACTGCCCACACAAGCCCATGTGGCCTACAAACGCCCCTCCCCCAACAAGCCCTTGTGACCTACCAGCCACCGTAAGCCCACATGACCTACCAGCCACCGTAAGCCCACATGACCTACCAGCCACCGTAAGCCTACATGACCTACCAGCCACCGTAAGCCCACATGACCTACCAGCCACCGTAAGCCCACATGACCTACCAGCCACCGTAAGCCCACATGACCTACCAGCCACCGTAAGCCCACATGACCTACCAGCCACCGTAAGCCTACATGACCTACCAGCCACCGTAAGCCCACATGACCTACCAGCCACCGTAAGCCCACATGACCTACCAGCCACCGTAAGCCCACATGACCTACCAGCCACCGTAAGCCCACATGACCTACCAGCCACCGTAAGCCCACATGACCTACCAGCCACCGTAAGCCTACATGACCTACCAGCCACCGTAAGCCCACATGACCTACCAGCCACCGTAAGCCCACATGACCTACCAGCCACCGTAAGCCCACATGACCTACCAGCCACCGTAAGCCTACATGACCTACCAGCCACCATAAGCCCACATGACCTACCAGCCACCGTAAGCCCACATGACCTACCAGCCACCGTAAGCCCACATGACCTACCAGCCACCGTAAGCCCACATGACCTACCAGCCACCGTAAGCCCCCCCGTAAGCCCACATGACCTACCAGCCACCGTAAGCCCCCCCGTAAGCCCACATGACCTACCAGCCACCGTAAGCCCACATGACCTACCAGCCACCGTAAGCCCACATGACCTACCAGCCACCGTAAGCCCACATGACCTACCAGCCACCGTAAGCCCCCCCGTAAGCCCACATGACCTACCAGCCACCGTAAGCCCCACCGTAAGCCCACATGACCTACCAGCCACCGTAAGCCCACATGACCTACCAGCCACCGTAAGCCCACATGACCTACCAGCCACCGTAAGCCCCCCCGTAAGCCCACATGACCTACCAGCCCCCGCCCCCCCCCGTAAGCCCACATGACCTACCAGCCACCGTAAGCCCACAGCCCATTGTAACAAGCAAACGCCAGGTCAGTGGGTGACCATCGACTTGACTTCATCCCCTCACTGATGACAGTCACGTGACCTGGGGGATACATTTATTACATTTTGGCTTCGGTTTCATTATCCTATAAACTATAAATAGTAGATTTTCTAAAATGTCAATAGTTTCTTCGTTATGAACATGTAAGCTTAATAATATGTCTCCCTATTTACTCACCCTCCTCCACCCATCACCACCCTCCACCACCCACCCCCACCCCCTCCCCCACCCTGTGTACTCACCCTCCACCACACTCCACCACACTCCACCACCCTCCACCACCCCTCACCACCCTCCACCACCCTGTTTACTCACCCTCCACCACCCTCCACCACCCCCCCACCATACCTCCACACCCCCACCCCCTCTGTACTCACCCTCCACCACCCTCCACCACCACACTCCATAACCCCCCCCCCCCCACCCCCTATTAACTCACCCTCCACCATTCTCTTCACACCCATGACGATGATGACAGACAAGGCCGTGACCTTCCCCACTGACGCCAACATCTGGAGATTCTCTGACAGTTTAGTCGACATCACATTGACAAGTGCCATCGTCACTGCAACACAACAAACTTTTACAGTCAGTGAAACAAACTTTGGCAGTCAGTGAAACAAACTTTGACAGTCAGTGAAATAAATTTTGACAGTCAGTGAAACAAATTTTGACTGTCAGTGAAATACAACAACTTTTGACAGACGGTAAAATACAAAAACAAAATTCAAACATTTTAAATTAGCCTAATTTTGAAGAAACGTGTTGTAAAGTCACAATGATAGCCAGAACGAAATTTTAAAAATGTATAATTTATACTAAAATATCCTTTAATCAGTGTTCAACCCCTCCCCCAAAGTTTCAAAAGCCCCTCCCCCTCCCGAGTGACACAATTAAAATGTGTCATGCTCATTGTGCCACAAAACCCTATGCCCCGACCCCCGTACGACACACCCCTCGTTCATCACCCCACCCCTCCCCTGAGTATGAAGTTCTTACAGACAGCAATGCTGGCCACGACGATCAAGACTTACAGACAGCAATGCTGGCCACGACGATCAAGACTTACAGACAGCAATGCTGGCCACGACGATCAAGACTTACAGACAGCAATGCTGGCCACGACGATCAAGACTTACAGACAGCAATGCTGGCCACGACGATCAAGACTTACAGACAGCAATGCTGGCCACGACGATCAAGACTTACAGACAGCAATGCTGGCCACGACGATCAAGACTTACAGACAGCAATGCTGGCCACGACGATCAAGACTTACAGACAGCAATGCTGGCCACGACGATCAAGACTTACAGACAGCAATGCTGGCCACGACGATCAAGACTTACAGACAGCAATGCTGGCCACGACGATCAAGACTTACAGACAGCAATGCTGGCCACGACGATCAAGACTTACAGACAGCAATGCTGGCCACGACGATCAAGAAAGTTGCTGGAGGACCACACTCGTCATAGACGGCGTCAGCCACGTAGTCGGTGAAGGCCAGGGCAAACACGGCGGTGGAGCAGGGCTCAGCGGCAACTGGAGGCAGGCAGTGGAGGGCATCATCAACACAAGGGGCAAACAGGTGGATAAAGACATGTAACCAGCAACACCAACAACATGACCACATGTAACCAGCCACACCAACCACATAAACACATGTAACCAGCCACACCAACCACATAACCACATGTAACCAGCCACATCAGCCACAAGATAAAAAAACAAATGGTAGCTGCAGTGAGGTTAATGTAATTAGTAATAAAACAGATAGTATTAGTTACCTCACAAGTTAAAGACAGTTACAAGTACTATGGACGTTTCGACCCAAGGTCTTCGTCAGCACACAACGTTCATTATGTGTGCTGACGAAGACCTTGGGTCGAAACGTCCATAGTACTTGTAACTGTCTTTAACTTGTGAGGTAACTAATACTATCTGTTTTATTACTAATCACATCAGCCACATAACCACATGTAACCAGCCACACCAACCACATAACCACATAACTAGCTACACAAACCACCTAACCACATGTAACCAGCTATACAAACCACCTTACCACATGTAACCAGCCACACCAACCACCTAACCACATGTGTACCCACCTATTCTCATCCACGAGTAGACGAAGCCAGCAAGTGGACCGAAAGCTTCAGTGATGTAGGCGTACTCTACTCCCTCTCGTTTGACTGACTCTCTCAGCTCGGCAAAACACAGGGCAGCTGTAAGCAAAACACAGGGCAGATGTAAGCAAAACACAGGGCAGCTGTAAGCAAAACACAGGGCAGATGTAAGCAAAACACAGGGCAGCTGTAAGCAAAACACAGGGCAGATGTAAGCAAAACACAGGGCAGCTGTAAGCAAAACGCAGGGCAGCTGTAAGCAAAACACAGGGTAGAAGTAAGCAAAACACAGGGCAAATGTAAGCAAAACACATGGCAAATGTAAGCAAAACACAGGACAGATGTATGCACATATAAACAGAGGGCAGCTGTAAGCAGAAGTCAAACTTAACACTAAAGACCAACACTTACAACATACACTAAATATTCCAGCACATACAACTTACCACACATACTAAAGATACCAACACATAAAACTTACCACATATACTAAATATACCACTTACAACACATACGAAATATACCAGTACATACCACTTACCACACATACTAAAGATACCAGCACATACCACTTACCACACATACTAAAGATACCATCACATACCACTTACCACACATACTAAAGATACCATCACATACCACTTACCACACATACTAAAGATACCATCACATACCACTTACCACACATACTAAAGATACCATCACATACAACTTACCACACATACTAAATATACCAGCACATACCACTTACCACACATACTAAAGATACCATCACATACCACTTACCACACATACTAAAGATACCATCACATACAACTTACCACACATACTAAAGATACCAGTACATACCACTTACCACACATACTAAATATACCACTTACCACACATACTAAAGATACCACCACATACAACTTACCACACATACTAAAGATACCAGTACATACCACTTACCACACATACTAAATATACCACTTACCACACATACTAAAGATACCACCACATACAACTTACCACACATACTAAAGATGCCAGTACTTACCAATTACCACACATACTAAATATACCACTTACCACACATACTAAAGATACCACCACATACAACTTACCACACATACTAAAGATACCAGTACATACCACTTACCACACATACTAAATATACCACTTACCACACATACTAAAGATACCACCACATACAACTTACCACACATACTAAAGATACCAGTACATACCACTTACCACACATACTAAAGATACCAGCACATACAACTTACCACACATACTAAAGATACCAGCAAACGCCCACATGATAAGGCTCATCCCCACAGAACCAACGCCAGCCAAAACACCTTTAGGAGTGCCAAATATGCCGGGACCTAAAATACATAGACGATAAACTACTTGTTCAATGCTGCTATACTTTTGGTATACTGCTGGCTTTTTGTGGACTTTTTGTCTGTTTATTATTATAGATTTGTGAGGTCAAGATACTTATGGAATAGACGTTTGACTAATGAAAACATAGCCAAATTATCAAATGATTTCAAATTTTAAACAGAACTGTAGATTGTTTAGTCAAGTACCTAATCCTTAACATGTGACAGGTACCCATCAGAGTTGGGTGGACTCAGGGACTGACACAAACCCAGAGTTTGAACTAAAGACTTTAGTGCTCTACCATCCCCTACGTCACTGATTACAAGAAAAAGACCTCATTAGATACAGATCCAGAACAGAGCAGAGAAAACCAAGGGTTTACCTGTATAAAAAGACGTGTTGTATAAAAAGACTTGTTGTATAAAAAGACTTGTATAAAAATACTTGTATTGTAGTGTGAAGAGAGTTGTGCACTGTCCGAAAAAGCCTAGGGTTACTGTTATGAAAATACCTAGTTGTGTAAAAGTAAACAAAGTTACCCTTTCAAAACTGGAGGTGCATGAGGCAGATGAAGTAGAGTTTACCTGTTTCAGTAACCTCGGCATATGAAGAGATAGCGCCTTTACTTTCCTTAGCATAAGTCAGGTACCCATCTGAGCTTGGTGGACTAAGGGACGCTCTATAGACCCAAAACTGGGATTCGAACTCAATACTTTCGGGTTAACAGTACTATGCTCTACTTGCCGAAAAGACTCATGTAGGAAGAAACCTAGATGCGTACATGTAGGAAAAGACCTAGTTGTGTACTGTTAGATAAAGACTCATGTAGGGATAGACCTAGTTGTGTACTGTTAGATAAAGACTCATGTAGGGATAGACCTAGTTGTGTACTGTTAGATAAATACTCATGTAGGGATAGACCTAGTTGTGTACTGTTAGATAAATACTCATGTAGGTAGAGACCTAGTTGTGTACTGTTAGATAAATACTCATGTAGGGATAGACCTAGTTGTGTACTGTTAGATAAATACTCATGTAGGTAGAGACCTAGTTGTGTACTGTTAGATAAATACTCATGTAGGGATAGACCTAGTTGTGTACTGTTAGATAAATACTCATGTAGGGATAGACCTAGTTGTGTACTGTTAGATAAATACTCATGTAGGGATAGACTTAGTTGTGTACTGTTAGATAAATACTCATGTAGGGATAGACCTAGTTGTGTACTGTTAGATAAATACTCATGTAGGGATAGACCTAGTTGTGTACTGTTAGATAAATACTCATGTAGGGATAGACCTAGTTGTGTATTGTTAGATAAAGACTCATGTAGGGATAGACCTAGTTGTGTACTGTTAGATAAATACTCATGTAGGGATAGACCTAGTTGTGTACTGTTAGATAAATACTCATGTAGGGATAGACCTAGTTGTGTACTGTTAGATAAATACTCATGTAGGGATAGACCTAGTTGTGTACTGTTAGATAAATACTCATGTAGGGATAGACCTAGTTGTGTACTGTTAGATAAATACTCATGTAGGGATAGACCTAGTTGTGTACTGTTAGATAAATACTCATGTAGGGATAGACCTAGTTGTGTACTGTTAGATAAATACTAATGTAGGGATAGACCTAGTTGTGTACTGTTAGATAAATACTCATGTAGGGATAGACCTAGTTGTGTACTGTTAGATAAATACTCATGTAGGGATAGACCTTGTTGTGATACATTTATGGAAAAGACCTAGTTGTGTAGATGTAGAAAACGACTGGTGTAGTTTACCAATGATAGCATTCATGACGAGAGAGCCACCGTACAAGAGACCTATCTCCTTCCCCACGTCCTTCTGCTCCGGCTTCTTCTCCCCCTCCTGGCTCCTCCTCCCATCCTCACTGTGGTTGTCTTTGATGCTCCACGTCACAGAGGGACGGTGACCCTCGGGGTAGCCCGACCCTCTCCTGTAGCACGCTGAAGTTGGTCAGGACAAAAGTCAAAATATCCAGAAGATAAAATTTAGATGATTTCTTCCTGCGCAATTTTCTGACAACGCAATGTATTAATAGCACAATTTTCTGACAACGCAATGTGTTAATAGCGCAATTTTCTGACAACGCAACGTATTAATAGCGCAATTTTCTAACAACGCAATATATTAATAGCGCAATTTTCTGACAACGCAATGTATTAATAGCGCAATTTTCTCACAACGCAATGTATTAATAGCGCAATTTTCTGACAACGCAATGTATTAATAGCGCAATTTTCTGACAACGCAATGTATTAATAGCGCAATTTTATGACAACGCAATGTATTAATAGCGCAATTTTATGACAACGCAATGTATTAATAGCGCAATTTTCTCACAACGCAATGTATTAATAGCGCAATTTTCTCACAACGCAATGTATTAATAGCGCAATTTTCTCACAACGCAATGTATTAATAGCGCAATTTTCTGACAACGCAATGTATTAATAGCGCAATTTTCTCACAACGCAATGTATTAATAGCACAATTTTCTGACAACGCAATGTATTAATAACGCAATTTTCTCACAACGCAATGTATTAATAGCGCAATTTTCTCACAACGCAACGTATTAATAGCGCAATTTTCTGACAACGCAATGTATTAATAGCGCAATTTTATGACAACGCAATGTATTAATAGCGCAATTTTCTGACAACGCAATGTATTAATAGCGCAATTTTCTCACAACGCAATGTATTAATAGCGCAATTTTCTGACAACGCAATGCATTAATAGCGCAATTTTCTGACAACGCAATGTATTAATAGCGCAATTTTCTGACAACGCAATGTATTAATAGCGCAATTTTCTTCTGGTGTATAAACTGGGCTCTTTTTCTTTGAGTTGAACTTTTTTTTTATTTAATGCAATACTGTCTAGGGATAAAATATATTTCTGTAAATTGTGTGTGTACTTGTAGGAGTTGATCAGTTTTCCTAATTAGCGATTACATGTCGGCAGATCATGGGAGGTCAGCACGGGTCAGGAAACAATAGATCAAAATATTTACCGAACAGATAGAGTAGGAGGGTAACCTAACACCGTACGGTGTTGTTCTTTTTTTACGCCGTTAAAATTTAACAATTTCATTTCACCTAGGATAATTAAAATTACATTCTACATGCATTTACTACGAATATGTTTTAATGTTTTATGTGTAAAAATAACTTTAAAATGAAAGTGGTCAGTGTGTTACGTGCTATCTCTCTGGGCTTTCGTTCATTCATTAAAAAAAACAAAAGCTGCTGTGTCGCCATCTGGTGATTCACACGGGAAAATGTCGGCTGGAATTGTTGGACTTGTGTGAAAATACACGCAATGTTTGGCACTGACACAAAGATTTGACACTTGACACAAAGATTTGCCAGTTGGCACAAGTATTTGGGAGTATTGATACTGACATAATTATTAGCCAGTTAACAAAATGTTAGGCAGCATTACTACTGACACAAATGCTTGACAAAAAAACTACCTAATATATTCACGTAACAGTTATAAGTTAAAAATATAACGAAATAAAAAAATGTATCTTTCTGAATTATTGTGGTTCTAGATTGACATAAAAAGACCAATGTGAGAATATATATATATATATATATATATATATATATATATATATATATATATATATATATATATATATATATATATATATATATAAACTGGCCAATACTGGAACTGTCTACAGGAAGTTTCCATAGCCTACTAATAGCCTTTGCAAGTAAATAAACACGGAAACTTAGTAGTCAAAAAAAAAAAAAAAAAATGAACCAAACACGTTACCTTTATTTCGCTCCATTAGAAAAATGTTATTCTTATTACGAAACGATTGGAGGTAGAGTCGATATAGACATGGTCAAATAAAGTTGCAAATAAATCCAGTGATCGTTGATTGGGAGGCATTGCTTGAAACTTGCTGGGAGAAATCATCCAGAGCTAGCAGACGATTGAAATCATCTTCCACTTGCAGACGATAGAAATCATCCAGAGCTAGCAGACGCGTGCCACTGGCTGAATGGGAAACGTTCGTCAACCAAAAGTTTTATCTATGTCACGTGATGAGGCGAAACGAGAAAAAACTAAGATAAGAAACTCTGAGTACACCATGAGAGTACACTTTGTAATGTATTTAAAGTTAAAGATGTATACATTATTAGAGTTATTGGTCCTGAGTTTATAGTCATCACAGAGGTGATTTCCCCTTGTTAGCTGCTCCCAGCCTTTTACTATAATTATGACGTCACATTCTTATCTTCTAAAAACAAAAGCAACGCAGGACTTGATAAGCGACTTTATTACCTAGGCGTTGACGATATATATATATATATATATATATATATATATATATATATATATATATATATATATATATATATATATATATATATATATATACATACATACATATAAATATTCACTTACAGATTAAAATATAGATACAGAAATCCTACATATTAATACAATCCTCTTATGTTGCACGAATACAATCTTCAAAACACAAACACTCCTATTATTTTCATATCAATCAAAGTATATATAAAACTTTTATATTACGTGGGTGGGGGAGGTGTAATTATTGTTAAAGAAACAAAGCCTCTCCCTCGCCCATAACGGTTGTCGATTGTTTAGCCTAAGCCTAGTTGTAGGCCCTTTCTTAATTGAAAAAAAAAATCAAATATTGGGCTGTACATATACATTGACAATGAACTAGTTTAGTCCTGACCCAATTTGTTTGGGAGATTGCCACAAGCCGTGTACACAACCCTCCACGGGGAGACGATACCCGGGAGCTGGAAATTACCCCCCCCCGTCAATGCCCTTGTATTCTACCCTCACCCCCCCCCCCCACTTCCTCCGTCAATACCCTTGAACCCCCCCCCCCCCCCCCCCCAGGCAACACCTTTGTATTTTACTTCCCTTTCCCCGTCAAAAAGATTACACGCTGCTGTCGATTATTAACTCACCTAAAGCCTAATAAGTTACATAGAGGGTTTAAGCATTGTATATACTGCCGTGTTTCTCACATAGCCTATATGCACAGGGGCATATGTTGTACATCATAAGATGAGGGGATCGTGCTTAAGTGGGGAGAGGGGATGATCAGCACGCTATTTTGTACTTTAAAAGTGATATTTTTTTCCTGAAATGTAATAGCTAGTTCGCGTTTTACTAACATTCTTGGAAAGTGTAATAAATGTTTCCAATATGCTAAGTCTTAGTTCAGCCAAATATTTTAGAAAAAAAATCCTGCTTTAAAACAAAATTGCAAGTTAATTGGGTAAGGGTTTCAAGTCAGCCGTTATTTTAGTAGTGGTGGTGGTGTGTGTGTGTGTGTGCGGGGGGGGGGGATATTTGATGAAAGGGACGATCAGGAGAGGAGGCCGTCAACATCGTCTAATAGATTGACATCAACTATGAAAGACGTCTTGTTCTGGAAGTCAGTACGATCTAAAAGCCACGAAATCAGAGGCAAGCAACGATAACCGAAAATTGTATGTTTTATATATATATATATATATATATATATATATATATATATATATATATATATATATATATATATATATATATATATATATATATATATATATATATATATATGTATGTATTTATATATATATATATATATATATATATATATATATATATATATATATATATATATATATTGTTACGACTCCCTTCTCTAATCCTTTCGAACTAGTCAGGGAATCGTAAACAAGAAGAAAAATAAATAATAATCATTAAAAAAGTTTTAAAAAACCCACGTTTTCTGATTGAACTAAAAAGTAGAAAATAAATGCTATAGGCCCTACATCACAATAATGCAAGCGATCACTCTACTATAAGCGATGAAAAACGTGGGGCGCCGAAGTAAAAGTTATATTACTATTGATTAGATAATACTATTGACTTTTATTAGGGAGCTTGTAGAGAGTCAACAGTATTAGAAACTGTAAGAAAATCACGGCGCCCCACGTTTTTGCTCGCTTATAGTAGAGTGATCGCTTGCATTATTGTGATGTAGGGCCTATAGCATTTATTTTCTACTTTTTAGTTCAATCAGAAAACGTGGGTTTTTTAAAACTTTTTTAATGATTATTATTTTCTACTTTTTAGTCTTTGTCTGTTTGTTTGCATTAAAATCTTGCTATCGATTTTATCTTTTCACTTTTTTTGGGTAAACGAAGACAACTCGTAAAAAGACAACTCGTAAAAAGACAACTCGTAAAAAGACAACTCGTAAAAAGACAACTCGTAAAAAGACAACTCGTAAAAAGACAACTCGTAAAAAACACGTTGTTTGAATACGTTACTGACTAGAACACATAGATTTGAACCCGTGTCGAGTGGGATAGCAATCGTGTGCCCAACCACTCGACCATATCGTCTCCCCCAAACTGGTCTACCTCCTGTAAGTTTAAACTCGGTTCAAGCTAAATTCTCTGCCCCTAAGCCTGTGGCGACATGTGATCGTTCGCTTCACTGCGCGCGAGGTACGCGTCGCTGGTTTTTTTTCTAATGGCTAGCAGAGGAGAATTATATATATAGATTATATAGCGGTCTAAAATGCTCAATAAAATGTTTCCATTGATCAATTTAGTAATAATAACAATTGAATATTCAATGGTCATCCAAAAGAAAGCTTCCCTGAAAATTTCAGCGCGCTAGCTAACTGGGAAGTGCCAGAAATTTCGATCGCAAGATTTGATTGGAAAGACAAACACACAAACAGAGAAAGCAAGTTAAAGAAAACGTGGGAAAATAAAAATGAACGCCACTTCAGTAATCTCTATTTATTTCCACAAATTACAACACTTAAAGTTAACCCGCCACCAAAGTACAACAATCAGAAATATACACAAATAGCTACAAACAACTAAAGTTCTTAGTACGACTACCCTACTTGTCCCTAACTGTCTAACTAGCCTAGGTCTACTACAGTACAGGCATCTCTTGGCTGTCCACTAGCTCACAGAGACGCCCCATGTCTGTCTCGTCTAGACCTAGCTATCCGAGTCCGTCTCCGTGTGTGACTCGTGAGCTCTGACTGAGTGTCTCCCCAGAGTGTCTGTCTCCCCCTCCTTAAATAACAGACTCACGAATGTCCAGGTGCGGGGCTAATTATGCACCAACACTTCCCACTCAAGCCTAACCTAATTAAATGTCGCCAACAGGTCTGGGGTACCTGATTAAATTGTCAGACCCTGCTAATATACTACCCTCATTGATGCCGTCGTCCGTAAATGTAACCTAATTTTAACACGTGCCTCGTTGATTGTCTCCATCTAGACCTGTTCAATCTGGGTCACGTCTGTTGTCAACCCTACCCTGCTATATACGCCCCCACAGTCGTAACACCTCGCAGACTGCCATCTACCCCTCCTAAAATAGTCCAGTCGAGGTGCAGGGGTCTATGTCCTGACTTAACCTCTCGTACGGCTTTTCCCTACATTTACATACCTATTACCAGGCCAGGCGATTCAGGTGAGAAGGGGGGGGGGTGTAACCCGCTAGCATCAACAATAACATCCCACCCTTTGTCTCTTTCACGACCTGCGCCAGTCCGTGGCATCTCTCATTACGGCCTGGCCCGACCACAAAATAGGGGGTTCACGTCGAGAGTTCTCCCCATCCATAAATCTCTAGGTGACACCCTAATTAACCCACGTTCAACCATGTCCAAAAAAAGGTAAGATCCCCCTCATGGGATCGTAACACCTCCACCCTTCAAGAAATTAATTCGCCATTTGGTGAATTAATTGAACAACACATTGATCACCACACCACATCACACAATATTTCAAAAGTCCCAGAACAAACCCAGTCTGGGCAAAATCAATCCAACATGATCATTATTAAGAAGATAAGTAACATCAATGGTTTAGTCACAATAACACGTTTGACTAAGAATCCCAAATTGATGACTGCAAAAATTGACATTAAAGTAAAGAAAACATCAAATAAGCCACAAATATGTCACTGTCGTAAATAATCTTCAAGATGAAAATAACAGTCTTCGTTATATTATATTTACGTCAACAGTCAACAAATTGTGTCAAAGCATTAAACACACACAAAAAAAAAACCTGTTACAGATACATCCTCATACCATAAATCATAAACCCATTTTTTTAAACAAAAGACATCTGTAAAAGGGTATACTCTGCAAGCCTGAAAACAGTTCATTTTAATTAGAACACTTGTGACTTGGGGAAACATGAAACAGTCAATATAGGAAACAGTTCTATAACAGGCTTGAAACTCAAAGGTACACATTGTCATTATGTTTCCGTCTTGTGGGTCATCATGAGTCCGTAAATATAAATCTTTAGCCGAACTTTGTAACGTCGCAGCACAATTTTAGTGACGGAGATATTATCCGCCCACAACAAATACACCGAGCCGCACAAAGAGAGGTCGATTGCACGCCCCGTCTCTGTGAAAGTGAGGTGGGATGCGCTCACATGTACACATTCTCGGTTGACGGGAGAAGTGTGACCCGCTGAGGTCACATTACCGGTCTTCTCCGGGTCGGTCAAAAAACAATAAATCAGCTCCGAGATAAGGGGAGGGAAGCCTGAGTTAGGCTCAACTCCAAAACAAGAGGCAACTTCTTCGTTCGTCACCGACGCTGACAAAAGATTCACCGTCTCCTCGATCTCTGGATGTAAAACACAATCCACGTGACCTCCAGGTGAGGTCATGGCCTCCAGGTTGCTGGACTTGGTCGGGGAGAAATTAAACACTGCTGTGACAATGGGAGGACAGCCCGTGTTAGGCTCACCTCCAAGACAATGGGTAAAGATTTCGTCCGTTACCGATGCTGGCAGAAGATTTGATGACTCGTCTGACTGAAGATATAGGTCACCATTCACATGACCTCCAGATAAGGTCATGACGCCATCAAGACGACAAGTAGTAAGGTCTTGATCAGATACAGTTACTGGTTCAGGTTCAGACGAGGACAGCCTGTTCTCATGGGTATTCACTCTCTCGGTGGTTACCGTGATTTCAGCGGTGGTTGTAACCACTG